GTTTTGCTTTCAGATGGGAGCATCCTAATGAATGTGAGGCCAAGATGCAACTGTTAAATGGGATGTTCTTGTGTAGCAGAGGTGGGAGTGTGGGAGTGCTACATCTAACAGTAAAGTGGGAGCTGTGCTGACTGGGGGAATGGGTTCCTGGCTGGGTGTTTCTAGGCAGCCCCTGGGGACTAAGAGTATTGGTGCTTGATGGCTGCTCTCACAAGTTGGCTCAGCAAGGTGGCATCTTTCTGAGCTATGGCAACATGGATCTTGGGTGGCTTTGGGGCTCCTGGAACGGAGAAAAGTCAGAGTTGGGTATCTGGGTTAGGGCTTGGGCAGGCCCTGGCTCACCTTCTTCATGCTCTCAGGACATTCTTGCCAGGGCGATCTGCCAAGGACCTTGTTACATGCTAAACTGTGGCCTGCCCCAAATCTGTCAGTTGCCGTCCTCTGTATGAATGGCCCAGAATGTGACTGTGTTTGGGAGAGGCAGTGAATGTAAAATGAGGTCACAGGAATGTGCACTGATTCAGTATGACTGGTGCCCCTATCGGAAGAGAACAGTAGGACACAAACAGATCATGGGACAACATGGGGTCACTCAGACATGCTCTGTTCGTGTTGACTCGCCATACAATCCCATCCTGTTTGTGTCTTTAAGCACTAGTTCTGTGTGGTTGTCCTCTTTGTTGACATCAACCTTGAAATGAAACCTACATTCTCTACTTTGAAGTTTGACATTTTCAAGTCAACATTGCCATCGATAGGATCAACACTTCCAGCTCACGTGATGCTTAAGTTTTCCTGCTATCCCTTTAAAATTGATTCAATGACTGATGTGGCAACGTATTCCTCTTTTGGACCCAGGCATGAGTGCTAACATCTCACAACGTTTCTGCCTCCCCTTAGGCAGTAGAAAGGATCAGTGGTCATGTTAGGTAGCAGAGATATTCTGCAGTCAGAAACTGGATGATCCAACATGAACTTGACTTAATGTGTGTTCTCTGCAGAACTCCTACACCCTCCCCCCCCAAATGTGTTAACTGTCACAGCAAAAGGGACTTTGCAGATGATTAAGTTAAGGAATCTGAGATGGAAAGATTAGCTCGATAGCCATATTGGGTCCAAAATCATCACAGGGACCCTCTGAAGCAGAAGCGAGCGCACCAGTAACAGCAGTGTTACGGGGCCATGGCTGTTGCCATTGGTCTTGCAGAAGGAGCCAGCAGCCACGGAAGGTGCATGATTTCTGGAAGCTAGAAAGACCAAGGAAAGAGATTGCTCTCTGGCTCTTCTGGGTAGGAGCATAGCTCTTCCGACATCTCAGTTTCAGCCAGGTGAGATCCACATGGGCTTTCTGAGCCATGGGGTGAAAGATAATAAACTGTTGTCATTCTAGGATGCCACATCTGTGATGACAGCAAAAATAGGAAACGAATACCAGTGAAGTTGTTGAAATAGGAAGTTAGTGAAGTCGGATTAATTTTCTGTAACATCACTTTGTGCTTAATTTCTTCTTGTTTCACTTTTTGTAGTAAGGCCCAGAGGAGAGGGCCAGCAACAGAGAAGCTGGCCGAGTCTGCTGGAGCTGGCCTCGTTAGGTGTTTACTGCATTGCTGGCTCCATCCATCCAGTTGCTCCATTGACCCATGAAGATTCATCTCTGTTGCATGTTGTTGACTCACCGATTCTCCCCAGATCCCTGGGAATCAGAGCATCATGTATGCACAGCTCTGCAGTGGGGCTTCTCTCAGCTCTTGGTAATTCTGCTGCCCAAACGAGCTCCTATGGTTCTCTGTCATTAGCCCTTCTCTAGTCAAACTGTACTGGTTAACTTACTACACACCCTGTTGGGTTCCTGAGAAGTTTGACTTCCCATAAGCTTTCTAAGTGTAGGCTACACATTGTTAAACTTTGGGTAAGCTCCACCCTTGTGCCTCTGCCTTAAGATAAACTGACCAAAGTGCCGGGAGACATGTCAGGGCAGATCAACAGCAATTTCTTAAAAAAATATAAAGAAAACACACAGCAAGAATCACTCATCAAGGCCATTGTGTCTCCCTCTAGTTGGACTTGTTATTGTGGCTTCCAGGTCACACAGTTTTAGAGCTAGTTCTCATGACTTTCCTCTGCGGTCGCCAAAGTGGCTTGACATTGGGCTTTCCTATATGTTGATGTTCAGCTGGAATGTTTCTGACTCTAGCCTGCACCTTGGCCTCCTCAGTAAACTGCAGCCCCTATCATCCTGATGTAAGCCCACAGTCATCGTGACTGGTGGGATTACTCTAAGCCTCAATGGACTGCTGGCCAGGCTGCCTACCCTTTAGGAGGCTTTGGGAATGGGGAAGCTTTCTTGTTTGCTGAATTCAGTTCCTGTGGCTATAACACTGGTCCCCCCCTCCCTTCCTTGCTGGCTGTGCCTGGAGCTGCCCATGTCCCAACTCATCCTTTCCATGTGCCCATACTAGTCATAGCACGGACAGCCTCTCTCATACTGTAAGTCTTTCTCATTGATTCCTCTGCCGCGTATCTTTGATTCCAGCCAAATATTACATTGTGCCTAGACATTCCAGGACAGCTCCCTGTTATCTTAATTCCATCTGCAAAGTAGCTTTCCAGCGGCACTTGGATGATGTCTGCATGACCATGAGATGGAGATATGGAGGTGCACCTTTAGAATTGGGCCTACTGTTGCCTACAAAATCTTGCATGATGCAATCCTCTGTTCCCTGACTTGATCTCTTTCCCTTTCTCCTTTCTTTCCTCCTGGACTCCAAGCCAGGGTGAATCCGGGCTATGTCAGATTCACTAGGCATGCTCCCACCTGAGGGTCTTTGAGGTGATGTTTTCTCTCCCATGAATGCCTTCTCCCTGGATCCACACATGACACAAATCTTTTGTTGTTTTGGTTGGACTTTCTGGGAACCAAACACCAAGACAGTGTTGAAGAACCAGAAAAATTGAACTTGACTGAAGAGGCAAATCAGCCTCAAAATGGAGGTAAAACCTCCGCCGGGTCACCCCCAGCCCAGCTCTGGCCATGGGTTGTGATCTAAAGGAAGCACAGCAGTTGAGGACACTGTTGGTGGCCTGAGCTTTGAAACTACAGATGATAGAAGATTTTGAGAAACAAGGCACACTCAGACTGTGTGGTAATGAGAGACCCTCCCAGTTTCAGGGGCTTTGGTTTTGTAACTTACTGTTCTAGGATTACATCATCACAACTAATTACTCTGCAGAGATTTTGTTTCCAAGTAGGTTAGCACTCAGAGGTACCAAAAGTGAGCACTTCAGCTTCTCTTTCTCCCAAAAGTGTATTTATTTGGAAGGCAGGGTTTAGGAAAAAGAGGGATAAACAGAGCAGAAAAGATATTTTCCTTCTATGGGTTCATTTTCTAAAAGGCTGTGATGCAAAGGACTGGGCAGGATCAAAGCCAGGTGCCACACACATCATCTGGATCTCCCAGGTGGATGCCAGGGGCCCAAGCAACTGGGTTATCGTCCATTGCTTTCCTAAGTGTGTTAGCGGGGAGCTGGATCCAAAGTAGAGCAGCTGGGACTTGAACCTGTGTTCATTTAGATGCCAGTGTTACAAGTGACAGGTTAACTCACTGTACTATATTGCAGGCCCTTCAACTTCTCTGTTGGGTGGGACAGAGTTTAACCTAAGGTAGGGGTGAAGACGAGGCAACATGGGTGAAGCTCTCCTTTTCACGCCAGATTCCACTGGGACTACCCTGCTTTTGCCTGGTTAAAGTGTTGCATTGCTTTGAAGGACGTGAATCAACAGTGCCATTGCTAGACAGGGTACTGAAAACCACGCACCTGCAGAAAGCCACTTTGCACAAATAGGCACACATGTGTGTGTGCATGTGCACATACATGGCTGGCTTAGAAGTTACTTTCACGCAAAGCTTTAAAATGCTGGACCTTCAGCATGGGCAGGGTGCAAGCAGCAGGCATGCTGATGGGCACGGCTGGAGCACAGTGACAATCAGCAGCCCGGCCATTCGGTCCTTGCCTGTCCCCCTTTTACGTCCCTTCTCCTTGCAAATGGCCAAATGAGCAGCATGTGTGCTCTGCTGTCCCCTCAGCTCTTCCCGCCATAAGTCTCTGCAAGGGATGCATCCTTCAATTGCCTTCCTGCAGTGGGTGGCACAATGGCAGGATCGGTCTTGGGTCCTGGCCTCCGGAAGGACCGGGCAACATTGTGGCCTGACTCTTCATGTTTCTGTGCTGTGGGATGGAAGTCTACAAGGCAGCGGCACTTATCTTGGGGAGGCCCTGAGAACTGCTCTGACTCCCACAGGCAGTACTTGGTCTCACTTTATTGGAAATGTGGGGTGCTGTGGCTTTAAACACATTGCTATTCAGAATGCAAAACACCGATGTTCTGTGGAGCCTCAGTTACTGACACTTTAGGAAGGGCTCAGCGGTTTTGTGAGAATGAAGTTGTCCTACTCAAGTGTAATGAGCCAAAAAGAAAAAAAAGTCGACTTTTTCCATGCAGTGCTAGTCTGCACCTGTTCTCTGGCCACGTGTCTCCTGAACCGTTGCAGGCTAGCAAAAGCACACAATGTCCTCACCACCCCTGGGCCTCAGCGTGCATGGAACATTCTGGCTCAGGGAATGGAGTGGACACAAAGACCGGGGACAGAGTTTCTGTTAACTAATTATGGATTGAATATTCAGTAGCAGATCTAGAAAGTGCCAGCTGCCAAATGCCACCCTCCACACCACCACATACTCACAGAAAGAATCTAAACATGGCTGTCAGCTCAAATTCTTTTACAAATCCAATCTTTATTTATTTATATATATCTATACATATATACAAAAAGTAAACTCCAAGTGAATGGAGATAAAATCCTGCCCTCTGCATGGGCAGGAATGACCGGGGTCTGTCAGAGTTGCAGCGGATCACACAGCTGCCAGCCCACCTCGGTCCGGACACGGAAGGAGTGCCGTGTGTGATGAGGAATGGTGAGGAAAGAGGCCAACTGCCGTCTCCACGCTGGAGAGAGGCTCTGAAAGTATTTTTTTTTTTTAAGGAACCATTGATCATACAGTTAAAAGCCAAATCTAAACTACTCAACTGATCTAGCACAAAAGGTCTAAGACTTCTTTTAGTCATTTTGCTTCTCTAAATGCTCCCAGAGGATATGGACCGATGATGTGTGGGAGAACGGCGGTGGATGGTGGATAGCTAGCCTGGCAGTTCAGGGCAGGATTCTGGAGACACCGTCATTCCCCAGGGACATTTTGGGGAGCAGGGGCCTCTCTGGGCTCTACCAGGCCATGTTGTGTTGGGATCAGCTCGCGGGGTCTGTGAGAACAGCAAGATGGACACACTTGGAGGCAAAAATGAAGCCAATGACCGCTCTGAACATGCAAATTTTAAAAATGTCATAATTATACATTTTTTCTAAGGTCAGTAATTTTAACAGATTTTAAAGAAACTTTTTTTCTTTTTTCAGAATTATGTCTCTCCAGTTTCCCACTCTTGGTTTGTTTAGAATCAACTTACTCCTTGGTCTAGTATCATTTCCTGTTTCTTGCGCATATCAGTGTGTATGTGTGTGCATGTAACAGCTTTCTTAGAGGTACTAAGAACAGAAGTTAGTGTGCTCTGATTTTCAGATAATCTTGTACCTAGTTTTTAAAATAAAATATGAAGGAATAGAGTTGTAAAAATTCAGTATCTGTAGTTTGTAAAACTACTATTTTCTTTTTTAGCGTGAGCTCAATGCTGACCTTTGCAGATCAATCATAAATAATAAATTCTCCCAAGAGAAGTATTTCTAGTGGACGTGGGGAAGAGGAGGGACTAAGCTTGCAGCGCCTGTGCCACTAAGACCAGCCCCTTTGGCTTGCCGCTCTTGAGGACTGACAATAGTGTAGAAGACAACATACGAATGTAGACCTCAGTTCACCAACACAAAGTGAGGGGAGCTTCTGCATGACCTGCACCTGCCGCTGACTTGGTTTCTTTCTTACCAACAGTGCCAGCATGCAATGTCCTTGAGCACTTGACAACCATCCTACTCCCAACTGGGATAGACCAACCATTATGCCTTCCCAGGCAGGGCACAAGTCACTTAAAAAGAAATCTTGTGCCACACTGTGTCTAACTTATATCCCAGTGACAGACTGCTCACCGGACAATCAAGAAAAACACAAAATGGGTTTCAGCACGAGACCACCATCTGCTCTGATTTCTGGCTAAATGTCGAGAAGGTCATCCCCACTCTCATCGCTCTCCACGGTCAGCTGCCGGGTCCACCACTTCTTCACCTCGGAGCCACAGGACGCTGCGTCCGTCACGGGATTCATCTTACACACCACAGACTTCATGGTCGTCCTCCCTCCAAATCGTAAGTTGACTGATGACACTGAATGGCTGATTGGCTTTGGTGCTGTGAAATTAACAAAGGCATTAGGAGCAACTTGGTGCTGCTGCAACCTATTGGATTCATTTCTAAGCAATGACCATGTTCCCATCAGTGATGCCGTGGGCTCCACATCCTAGCCGGAAACGTTAACAAACACTCAGGACTTGATCATTTATTTTCATTATATATATATATATATATATATTTCTGTTTATTTGGAGAGAGAAGAAGACAGAGAGAGATGGCTGTCTGCTGAGGTCCTATCATATATGCATAATGGCCAGGACTGGCCTGTGGTTGAAGCCAGGAGCCAGGAACTTAACCCAGGTCCCCACGTCGGTTACAAGGACCCAACCACTTGAGTCATGCTCTGCTGCCCCCAGGGTACATTAGTAGCAAGCTGCAGAAGAGATGGGACTGGAAGCCAGGCACTCTGCTGTGGCATTTGGGCATTTAGCTCACTCACCTCCTCCTGCTACTGTTTTAAATTATGCATTTTGACAGCAGTACCATTAGGGGTACTGAATGCTACTGATGCCTTTCACTTTGAAACAAGTACCAAAAGTAGAAAACACTAAAAGTTACTGGCATATTAAATGGGAGTGTAGACTGCTTCACTGGACTCTTGTAGAATATGGGTTAAATGAGATGACCTAAGGAAAGTGCGTAGCACGACACCCAGTGCATTGTTGGGACCCTCTGACAATGCTTTGTCATTCTTTTCTGCATCAAACTCCATATGTCCCCAGTAGCATCCCATTTTTGACGTCGGGGTTCAGTAGGCACAAACCTTTGGGTGCACATTTCGTAATTTCCTTTCTTTTACCCATTGAAGCAAATCCCAGTGATGGCTCCTTCTTCCCCCAAATCATCTTTCCTGTCTGTCCTCAGTGCCTGAAAGCCCAGTGTGCTCCACAGCCTCAACAACAGATGGGAGCAAGGAAGGCCATTCTCACAGCCTCTGCCTTCTAGCCTGCATCCAGGTACTGTGAATGACAGTTCATATTCTCCTGCCGCCAACTCAATCCTCCCGCAGCACAGATCCCAAGTGCCACATCTGGCTGGAAGTCGTCCCTGGCCCCTAGCTGCCTACAGGATGCAGTGGAAGTTGTTCAGCTTCTCATTTAAGCATTTTCATGAACCGGCCCCACCTCTTACTCAGTCTTATATCCTGTCATTCTACACTTTTTTTTAAAAAACCAAGAGAAGCTAGGTTCCCTGTGGTCCCTGAATCAAAACAAAACAAAACACAGCACAACACAACACAACTCCTGGACAGGAAAGAGGATCTTTTCCCCAGTGGTGGTGGTAATTACAATTGACTCAACATCTTTAGCCTTGAAATGTAGACTGGACTATAGGATAAGCCCATAACAGAAAAGTTGATATCCATCTGGCCACCAGCATGGGGCTGATGTTGGGGCACAGCTAAAGGCATCATGAGGCCCCTACTCCACTCTGGGCTGGTGCTCCACAGAGGAGGCCATGTACAGAGAACCTAGAATGTCAAGAGCATTGATGGACTCCCTAATGGGATTATCTTGGCTTTTCCTCTAAGAAGAAAATTGTCTTACTCATTCAGTAAAGTGTAGAAAAGAATAGCTTTGGGAAGTTTAACTGAGAGAACACAAGTAATGCACTTTGAAGGAGGATTGGAATGCAGTTAATGCCACATAAATGCTTGTTTCTGTTGGGGTAGCAGGGAAGCTGGTGGAGATGGTGACTGGCTCAGCTGTATGATGTCCACTGAGATGAAGCAGGGGCCTGGCTTTCTGGGCAGGCTCTGCGGTACCTCCCGAATGACTGTGTGTGCCCACTCCATCTCTGACTAGACAGGCTGTGTCTGTATTGGAGATGCTCTGAATGCTCGCAGGCAGCCCGCAGCAATGCCCTGCTCATCTTCTGGACCTTGGCTATGATGTCACACTCTAACAGAGGCTGCCTTCCCAGTCATCCCAGATGGGAATGAGGGACAGAGATGCATGCTGGGTAAGAACCTTCCATGGGCCTCCAGGAGTGGGGAGATGGGTGAACCTACCTGATGGCAGGCGCCACTGCCCAAATTTCCTCTGGGGTTTCCCTGCATCCGTTGCATCCTGCCGGCTCCCTCCTCTGTCAGATAGCGTGGGGCTCAGGAGCTGCTGCTGGCTGCTGGTCTGAGAGTGGCAAACAGCAAGCAGTTAGAGCTCTCACAGGACATTCTGTTCCTCCTCTGCACTGGCCTGGACCCTCCCCACACCAAGGGGGCCGCAAGTGGGAGGAGCAGTGTGGACGCAGTGGGTCTACCCCAGGGAGAGGGGACAGGAGTCGGGATAAAGGAGAGTTCCTGGCACAGAGCAGACACAATTCTCCAGTGCCACTGTCCCTTGAGCATTGTGGGTGGCCTTTGGGACAGGGATGTTGGCTTTGCAGGAGGTGATGAAGGGTGGAGGCACTGGCTGCTTTGAACACAGTAGCCTGTCATCCACCTGGGGGGTCAGTGGCTGAGCAGCATTCAACAGTGTGCAGGGATGGGCCCCAGGGGAGGAAGCAGCTGCTGACTGGAGGAGCCGAATGGCCCATTCCCAGGCTCTTCTCACCACCTTTGTTCTTTCATGTAGCTTCATTATCCCCTCCTGGATTTTTGGTTACCCTGTCTTGGGATGTTCAACCCAGAGAGGTCTACAGCTCACATTCCCACTTCCTTGTTGGCTCCATCTGACTGATGGTTGGGACTTCATCACTGTCCATCCTCAGAGCTGACCCAAGGCAGGGTGGCCGAGCACACTTCTCCTCCCTGCCCTTGCTGACAGGGGAGCTACAGTTGATGATAGGAGGTTCCCATAGCCTGGGGAGCCAACAGGTGGAAACGGCCCCACACTGGGCCAGGGAAAGGAGAGGAGAGCAGCTCTTGCATCTCGGAGAAGGATCAGTGGGCAGAGGCTGCCTGGGGCAGCACCCACCTCGGGCTGCGTGTTCGGGTCCTGGCTGTTGGCATTGACGTCCTCGCTCGGCTGGGTCGTCTCAATGCTGGGAGGGTTGAGGAAGCGGCTCAGCTCCTGCTGTTGGCTCTCTCGCAGGCTGTGGATGATGCTACAGGACTGCTGCTGCTTCTGTGGAAACAGGACCATTGCTCTAGTTACAGGAAGGTGTGCCCTACCTCCTTTCGGCCTCTAGCTCCACCTCTCGGCTCATGTCATCTTCACCCCTCTCCAAAGACCTGCAGGATGGATGACCTCTCAAACTTTCTTGAGGAAGTTAGACACTTCCAAGGGTGAACGAGACTGCCTTCCCTGCCATTTTCATTTGTGTCACAGAGCAGGCTGATGGACACGAGCTTGTGTTTCATTGAAGGTTACTAAGGTGGGTGTGTTAATGCTTCCATCTCGTGTTGGTTTATGCTTATTAAATCCAGGCAGGTGCTTCCTGCCCTGCCACCCCTCTTCCCTGCCTGTGCTGTGAGGCGGGGCAAGCAAATGTTAGTGGCTCTCTGGGCTTGTGCATTCTGGCAGGCTGGTGTCTCGGCACCTGCTCTGCTCTCCTGCATAGATCTGCTTCCTGGAACCCTGGAGACAAGGGGACCCAGGCAGCCTCACCTCGGGAGTGCAGGGCTCCTTCCTGTTGGAGCTTTTCTCATGCAATCGTAATATGTTTCTATGGTCAATTTGTTCTGAGAAACAAGATTAAAAATATCTGCTAGACATTGTGATTTAGAGGTTACTTAGATTTTTTTTCCCCTCTGTGTGTGAAGCGTAAATCAAAAGCATCTGTAAAAGTCATTAGCAAATAGAAATAATCAGTGGGAACAATAATATGCCAACATAGGATATACTCATTCATTTATGGGCTAGAGGATCTTACGAGTTCAGGAAGCAGCAGAGCTCCCAGGAAATGTGGGCTTTTGTTAGACTAAATGACATCTTTGATAGTAGGCCGACCGTTTTAGGGGCAAGTGAAAGTGATTTGGTGCATTCTATTGCTATTCAGTGAAGATGTTTGGGATTTTGTACAGTGGAGCTCAACATATTGAGATGATAACTATTTGAAGATCAATAAGCTGATTTATGTGATATTAGAAACGGGTGGCTGCCGAGCATGTCGCAGGCCATGCTGAAGAGGGTGTGCGTGTCCTCTGAGCACTGGAAGAGGATGACACAGATGCAGTGTAAAGGGACGCGAGGCCATGGAGGGGTCTCCTCTGTTCTTCATGAAGGCCCTCTGTCCCTCTCGCTTTGGGGCCTCAGGTGGTGTGCACTTACGGCTCGGATGCGCTTCAGACACTTCTTCAGCCACATGCGGATGGTCTGCTTGGCCACCTCCTCCTCGATGGTATACTCCAGCTGCTCCCGCGCCAGGAGCTCCTCCAGCTGCAGGCTCTTCCGGATGTCCACAGAACGGTACGAAAGCATGCTGCAGGGCCAAGAGTGAGCACAGGCCTCGGTCACCTGGGATCTAGCCTTGCAGGTGTCTCAAAGTTCAGCAAGGACATCACTGTCACACAGTGCCCTCAAATATAAGGTAAGAGAGAGCAGTATTAGAGGCCAAGGCAGGTGCCTCAGAAATGGTCCTTATTTGGAAATATAATTGTTGCAGACATGATGAGGATGTGATCACCCTAGAGTGGGGGCATGGGGCTGACCCCCATTTTGACTGGAGAGATTGGGCATGTGTGTGTACACCCACAGATGTACATGGGGGGAACGTCCTGTGATGATGATGAAGGCAGAGGTTGGGTGCCAGTGGTAGGGGCCTGCAATGAGTTCTCTACATAGCCCCCAAAGGAGCCTGTGCCGCACACATCCTGATCTCAGAGTCCTGGCAAATAGGGAGGCAGTGCATTCCCGCTCTCTCTCTGGAACCCTGGCATGCTGGCACGGCTACTGAGCCCACACAGGACTAGCATAGCCTTCATCTGACCATAATGCCTGTCCAGGTGCTCAGGAAAAATCTGGAAAATGTGTGAGCCAGCAAAGGGCCAACCAACGCAGAGCAGGCTAGACATGTTCTTGCTACATCCCCCAGCTACACCCATGACCGTGGGCAGTCACTTAGCTCTTCAAGGCTACTTCCCTGCTCTGGGAAGGACAAAGTGGTTATGCCTCCAGGCCCTTGTAGTGCATCCTCTGTGGAGGTCAGCCTCCCATGGCTGGGACCCTCACTCAGAATGCATCCCTGCAGGATGGTGAGAAAGGCCACCCATGCTTTGTAGCAGTAGTGGGCCCTGGTCTTTTGGGTGGAGACCCATCTTCCTCCCCTCATACCTCAGGACATCATGGAAGGTGACATCACCGCCATTGTGCAGCCGTTCCATCTCATAGCACATGTGCTTAAATAAGAGTTTGTCCTTGTCCAGGTCCACTTCCAGCCTCCCGCGTAGCAGCCGCAGTAGGAACTTGACCCGGAACGTGGGGATTACCCCCTGTGGGCAGAGCAAGCATCCGGAGACCTGAGGATGATGCACTGGTCCTGCCCTTCTCACTGCCAGCCAAGCCACCTGGCCTGGTGGCTGGAACATAGCTGTGTGCCAAGATGGCATGATATGCACAGCTAAGCACTGCACCTCTGCAGGTGCCTCTCTGGTCCAGTGGCATCTCACAAAAGGGCTATATTTGGAGCCAAGGAGAGAGTGGCAAGCTAGAGCCAACGCTTCAGGCTTTTGCAGCCCATTCTATGGAATCAATCTTCATAGAGGGCCCAGTCAGACATTCACACACATGCCAGCCTGCCTCTTCACTGACTCCAAATACTAGACACCACTTAATATCTGTTCTAAGTTGTTCTTCCATGGAAAGCTAGCTCCTGTCCAGGGCTCCGCAGTGATCAGAACAACTGAAACCAAGAGAACCAGGCTTCCAGCTCCATGCTCCTCTGGGGTCAGAACACATCCACACCCTTAGAAATCTCACAGGCATTGCTGCCTTGCAGATCACATCACCTACCCCACCAACCCTGGCCATGTCTTTGGATAACACAGGTGACATCGACCCTTCCTGAAAGGCTGTTTAGACCTTCCCTTCGACTCTCCATGGTTGAATTCTTGTTAGCTGTTAGGTCATAAGCACCACCCGGGCACCTTCATCACCATGCCTGCTAAAGATGACTTGGACCCCAACTGTGCTCAGCCATTTTACTGTCAGTTGCAAAAAGAAGTTGCAAACTTTAAAGAAATTCGGTGTGTGTGTATGAGATAAATAGACACACAAATATACCTAAATGTTTCTGCTGGCTCACTCCCTAAATGCCCCCAGTGGCTGGGAACTCAATCTTCATCTCCCACATGGTGGCAGCGACCCAGTTATTGAACCATTTGCTTTCCAGGTGTGCATCAGGAGGCAGCTGAAATTAGAGTTGAGCCAAGACTGAAACCCAGGTACTCGGATAGGGGGTGTGGGTGTCCCAGATGCTTTTTTTAATAGCTCAGTCAAGTGATCACCCCATAACTTCTTGAAATAAGTATTAATTTGGATTTTGGAATAATTACATATGCATAATGATAGATCTTGGGAATGGGATCCAAGTCAAAGCCAGCATTTTTTTTCATGGACTCCTTATGATGCTTAGCCTCAATGTGGTTTTATTAGTGTTTTCAGTGCACCTGTGTTTTGACTGAAACTTCCACCTCACATGTGTAATCTGCCACTTGTGCCCATCATGTGGATACTCAAAACATTTCAGATTTTGAAGCGTTTCAGAAATCTTGGGGTTAGCAATGCTCTCATTGGCTGCCTCTATCATTACTATGGATACGATTGGACTGTTCATTCTTTGTCTCTGAGAGCATGGGCCCGTCTGCTCTGTCTTCAGCTCCTGAACATACCTGAGTACGTGTTAAGATGTGAAAGGAGCAGGGAGAGGAAGGAAATGTGCTGATTCTTGCTTAATTCTAACAAATTGTGGGCAAGCTTTGTGATGAAAACCGTTAAATCATAACAGAGAACGCACTCTGAGACATCACTAAATAGTATCTTTGTGTCTTTAAGCAGGATTGTTGTTGAAGTTGAGGTGGTCACCTGCTACTCTGGTGTCCCTGTAGTAGCCTCAGCCCTCCTCCTGCCCTGAGCTCCCTGGCTTCGCATCCTTGCTAACCTACAAGTTTGATGAAGAGGAAGTGTGCGGACGGAAAGGGCGAGGGGGAGACTCTGCTCTGTCCTTTCTCCTCCTCACATGTTCTACAGAATTAGCAATGACAGCTTTCTGCAACTCACCCATCATTCCAAGTTCAATTGAAGTTCATCAGAAACCACAAAACCATGTATATGTTGAGCTATGTCAACCGTGAGCCACTCTTACCTCCCTCTTATCATCCACCATATTCCATATGATTTGAAAGTGGCGAAGATCATTGTAACTTAAGAGCTGGTCCTCCTCAGTAGAGTAAAACAAGGAGAAATTCTCTACAATTATGGCTGAAAGAGAATAAAATTTCAGAAGTTAAGACAATTACGCTAACTTGTCTTTTTTTAATCAAAAGTAAAAACACCAATTATAAACGATGGATTTTGTCACCCGTATTGTAAAATGCAATGTTGGAAGTGCTTTTAGCAATGGCTTAGACGTTGGCATGTCTTGCACTTGGACTGAGCTAGCCTTCCAGCCTGTGTCGTTCCAAAACATGACAGCCACGAGCACAAACACGCATTCTGCGCAGAAGTACGGATGCCAGTTGGCCCGAACGCCTAGTGCAGGGATCCAGGGCAGTTTTGGAAGGCCCGTTTGAGTTCTAGGTGGCTCCCACAGCTGGCTGAACAACGCGCACTTCTCACAAGTGCAACGCTACACGGTGAAAGAGCCCCGCCCAATCCATGGGAAGAGCTCTCTTGAAAATCAATAATTATTTTGAATGGTATGAGTCTTAAAATTGCAATCAACTATCATTTACATGTCTTTCAAAGGTCTTCCCAGCTTCTAGACTGGAAGGCAACCATTTCTAATGCTGTGAAGTACCCACCTCAAGCTATCCAAGCTAATTATTCAAAATTGTACATAATTATCCAAGTCCCTGAGCTTAAAGAGATGAAAACACGTTGAGCGAACCTCACCTACCTACGAGCAGATTTAGCATGATGTAGGCGATGATGACATAAAAGGAGCAGAAATACATAAGCGCCCCGGCGTAGTTTCCGCAGTCTGTTGCCCAGTAAGTAAATTCATCTGGAGTGCAGAATGGAGGTTGAACCTTTGGGGAATTGGGGTGTGGGGTGATGGAGAAAGGAGATGACAGTTTGTGCCAGCTGACTCTAGTCAGTCAACATATCCTCAACCATGTACAACAGAATGTCAAAGCCACACGCACTGGGCACATGAGCTGCAGCCAAATCAAAACAGTATCTGTGTGTTTCACCTTGAGAAATCTGAGTTCACTGTCATTTTGAGAGGCATAATAAGAACAGCTTTCTTCCATCAGTTTCTTTCTGCCACTCCCACTTGACCCCAAGAGATAAGTAACTAAGTAGGATCTAAATTGCAGAAGGTAAAAGTAAACAGAACTATATCTGTAAATTGCATTGAATCCATTCAATTTATGTGAATATCACATCAGCATGAAGTGAAGGAAGTGAGGTCTCAAGAATTGTTTTTCTGACTTAAGAAGATGGACTGAATATACAAACTTCACATGAAGTTCCTAGAGCTTCTGAAGATGTTATGAAATAAAATTGGGTGTTCAAGAGCCCTGCAATTCTTTCTCTCCCCTTTATTTTTAAAAAAGATTTATAGAGGAAGTGAGAGAAACAAATCAATGCTGGCTTACTCCCCAGACGATCTTTATGTCCAGGATTGGGTCAAGTGAAAGGAGGCTCCAGCCTGCTCTTTTATGAGTCCAATAGGATGCCAACGTTGTGGTGTGACAATTCAAGCTGCCACCTTTAACACCAGCATGTAGTGCGAACATGTTAAAGCCTTGACTGATTCTTTTTTTTTTTTTTTCTGAGAGGAAGATTTTCTGTCTGCTGGTTCATTCTCCAAGTAGCCGCAATGGCAGGAGTTGAGCTGATTCAAAGTCAGGAGCTTGAAAATTCTTCCAGATCTCCCACAAGGATGCAGGGTCCCAAGGCTTTGGGCCATCCTCGACTGCTTTCCCAGGCCACAGGCAGGGAGCAGGATGGGAAGTGGGGTGACCAGGACATGTACCAGCACCCATACGGGGTGTGCAAGGTAAGGACTTTTAGCCACTTGACTACCACGCTGATCCCTGGCTGCTCCACTTCTGACCCAGCTCCCTGCTGATGTGCTTACAGAGGCAATGAAAGATGATCCAAGTGTGTGGGTCCCAGCTGTGCACGTAGGAGATCTGATGGAGTTCTTGGCTCCTGGCTTTGACCTGGCCCTTGTGGCAATTTGGGGAGTGAACCAGTGGAAAATATATTTTCTTCTCCAATTCATAAATAAATGTTTTAAAAATGTTGCCAACCCTGGCACAGTTAGACTGGCAGTTAAGGTCCTCTCCTTGCTCGTGCTAGGATCCCATGTGGGCACTGGTTTTAATCCCTGCGGCTCCACTTCCCATCCATCTCCCTGCTTGTAGCCTGTGAAGGCAATCCAGGATGGCCCAAGATTTGGGACCCGGCACCAACATGGGAGACCTGGAGGCGGATCTGGGTTCCTGGCTTCAGATTGGTGCAGTTCCAGGTATTGTGGCCACTTAGGGGGCGAATCATCGGATGGAGGATCTTTCTCTCCCTCTCTGTCTGTCTGTCTGTCTCTCTCTCTCTCTCTCTCTCTGTCTCTCCTCTCTGTATATCTGATTTTCCAAAAAAAAAAAAATCTTAAAAAAGTGTGCCAACATCTCAGAGTCCTGTCTGGTTGATGAGTTCTTTTCCTTACTACTTGTACTTTCTTTGGAAATATATTTAATTCTTCCTGTCCTAAGTTATAGTTAATTTGGCAAGTTCTGACCCCCTAATTATGCCATGAAGTCTTCTAGCTCCCACCATGTGCTAGGCTGCTGTGAGTGTTTGGGGATACAGTGGTGAGAACAGCATGGACCTGCGCCCCCACACCCTTTCTGCCAACAGTCTACAGCTGGCCAATCCAGTATGATGGCCTCAAGTCCCGTGTTGTGATTCAAATTTGTATTAATGAACATTAAGTTAAACAAAATTTGTTGAGTTCCTGCACTTTACCAGTCATGTTTCAAGTGGTCACACAGCACCTCTGGCTGGCGGCTGCTGAACTGGACAGTCCAATTACCCTCACTGCAGAAGCCTCTGCACAATATAACATCAGTGTGAAGGGGGAAAGGGGGCGAGCACACACCCACTCACGCTGATGACTCAAGACAGTGGTATTTTATGCCGCTAAGAAGAAAGAATTCTGAAAGAACACAGGACTGGCAGTCTTGGGGAAAAATAGTGGAAGCAGCAGATACGTAAACTGAGACCACAAGGTTAGCGTGGAATGAGCCTGGCGAGGACAGGACAACAAGGGAATTGTGGCTCAGTGGCCTTGCCGTGAGCTCTGAGGATATCTGGGACCTCTGAGGGTGCCACAGCTAGCACGTATCATGGGAGAAAGCAGGGGCTCAGAGAGCAGTGGCTGCCACCAAACACGTGGGGCTCCCCTGCTTGGCCAAATGGAAAAAGCGGGGAGGAAACTATATTTACCCAGTGGCATTGTAGTAATTCAAGTTAGGATAATTGAATACTTTACCCCGAGTCTTAGGCTGTTATACAATTTTAGGGGCTAACAGGCCAGAATATACATTTTGCATACAAAGTCTTGATGCTAAATAAGGGTGACGATGCCAATCCCACATTGCCAGAGTTCCAGGAGGAACCGAATGGAGGTGTTGTGCTGCCAGCGATGGACAGATTCTTACCATACAGTCGTGCATAATCTTGTTCCAGTCTTCGCCTGTGACGATTCGGAACAGCACGGTGATAGCTTTGCCAGCCGAGGAAAAGTTTGCATGCCTGATTTAAGAGAAACAACGAACAGGGTGTGAATATGGAATAGTTGAGTTTGTCATGAAGGCTTGAGATTTCGCTGTATCAACACCAGTGTGTCTGCAAGGCCTTTGGTTGGTAAGTGACTGCTTCCAAGGCCCACAGCCTCTCACTTATCATTGGGAGTCTCCTGCAAGGGTTGCTGATGGAATAAATCGACTCTCAAACACTGCGTGTTGCTGTTGACTTTGACTGATTGAGTACCTGATCTGGCAACTGAAAATGACTCCTCCCTTCACTTGGGCTGTGTTGTACACGTGCTGTATGGTGTGACAAGTAATTACTTCAGACTTTAGATATACGTGCTCAGGCCAGAATTTAAAAAAAAATAAACTGTAAGAGACTATAAAGAAGACCAACTTTAAAAAATGCTTGCCATAGATAACTACATTTCTGGAGGTTCCAACCTCTTAAAAACCAGTAAATAAATGAATAAATAATAACCTTCTCAAAACCATTTCATCTAAGAAATAACACACTTTTTTTTCTAAAGATTTAACTATTTTACTTGAAAGTGAGAGTTTCAGAGAGAGTGAGAATCTTCTACCTGCTGGTTCATTCACCAAAGAGCTCCAACTGATAGAGCTGGGCCACTTCTAAGCAAGGAACCAGGAGTCTCCTCCAAGTCTCCCTTGTGGGTGTAGGACCCCCTACACACCACTGCTTTCCCAGGCCATCAGCAGGGAGCTGGATAGGAAGTGGAGCATCCAGGTCTAGAACCAGCATCTGTATGGGATGCTGATGCCATAGGTGGAGTACGAGCATTCAACACCACCATGGCAGCCCCCAAACAGTATAATAGTTGGTGCAATGCAGACACCGAAAGTACTGCATCCAGAAGGAGCTGTGTGCCTGAATGTTGGGGAATTATAGATTCTTTGCTTTATTTGTGAATTTTCTAAGGATTTGACAGTAAACAGGTAATTGGGAATGGGTCATTTATACTTTGTCTATTTAAATTCACAGCCAGTTGCTTTCCTCCATCCTGTACAGCCGGAGTTTTAAGTTTTTTAAAAAAATTTGTGATTGGGGCCTGGCGGCGTGGTCTAGTGGCTGAAGTTCTCGCCTTGTACGCCCCGAGATCCCATAGGGGGGCCGGTTCTAATCGAGGCAGCTCCACTTCCCATCCAGCTCCCTGCTTGTGGCCTGGGAAAGCAGTTGAGGATGGCCCAAAGCCTTGGGACCCTGCACCCTCGTGGGAGACCCGGAAGAAGTTCCTGGATCCTGGCTTCGGCCGTTGCACTCACTTGGGGAGTGAATTATCGGATGGAAGATCTTCCTCTCTGTCTCTCCTCCTCTCTGTATATCTGACTTTCCAATAAATAAATAAATCTTTTTTAAAAAATTGTGATTTTATGACTAAAAAAGTTACATGTGACAAGCGACTGGAGAGCTGAGCGTGCCCTGACCTGTTGATGTTCTCTCCGTATTTCACGGTCCCGAAGAGCACGACCCCCGCGAAGGCGTAGCACAGCAGCAGCAGGAACATGCCCACGATGATGAAGAAGCTCTTGTACATGCTGACCACCACCGTCAGCAGCAGCATCTTGAGCGTGACCTGGGGGGCGCGTGGGGGAACGCTCAGGGCGTCACGCCAGGAAGACCCGGCAGTGCATTGCTGCCTACCCGGGGAGTCTCAGATGTGCGATCTGCAAGTTGGTTCTACTGGGTGTGAAGTCCAGAACCATGAGCACTGAGAAATTCTGTTCGCCTCCGCAGCCACACTGGTAGAGGGACACCCCGAGAGTCTTAGCTCTGTTTGTTCTCCTAGTCCCCAGTTTGTGTCAGAATGGCTGCATACGTGCTCCCTATAGCAGGTAGGTTCAAGTTTCTGAACAGAGATTTTCACATAGCTACACAGCAGCATGATCCTAAGTAACCACCTGTGATTAAATATGTTGCCCTTATGGCTGCGTTAGGAGGTTTATATAACAATGTCAGTAATGACAAAGGAAACAGTACTGTTTTAACAAAAACATAGGTGGATGGGATACATGGACAGTTACCCCAAATGTTTAAAAAATCCAGAATCATGAAGTTCTAGTTGACCACGAAGAATTGTTTGGTAGTAACATTACTTTTAAAAATAAAGATAACGGAAGTAAACATTCACTTATGATGGCCATTTTTTTCTTTGCCTTTATGTATGTTTTCCTTCACGGATGACTGGGTTTACTCAGCAAATAGGAGGAAAAGTTACACGACGGGAAAGCCACCATCTGCTGTTGGCTCCTGTTGCATTGCGCTATTTAACTTTTGGTAGCCCTAAGGATGTCAAGGAAGTTGCCAAGCACAGCCCTGAGCACCCAGCGGCCAGCTCAGGCCAAGCCAGCAGGGAGCTGGGATCCTTGGGGCGGTGTAAGCTTGGGCAGGGTTTTTCCCAGCATACTCACGTGCTTCCCACAGATGGAGAAGAACCGGAACACTATCACGCAGGCGCCCATCATGTAGGTGTAGGCGTTCTGAAAGTCGAGCAGAAGACGACAGCTCGTCAAGGGCACAGATCTTGCTGCGTTTCCACTTTTCCTCTCAAGGCTTCCGTGAAGCCTACTGGATAATGAGCTTAATAAAATGTAACCTTCTTAGAGAATTTTTATCTAAAAAAAAGGTGCTGAAAAGGTCACTGCCAAATCTCATGAATAAATAATTAGGTGCAAAAAAAATCAAATCGCAGATGAAACTTCAAGTTCTGCTTTGCTCAGCTGAAGTCTGGATTTTGAAAGTTATTTTACATAAAACGATAACCAGCTCCTTTGAGAATGTGGTGTGAAAAAACTGGGTACCACCACCACAGTGGGAAGTGGAGGGGGATGGAAGACAAAGGCAGAGGAACAGTATTGGATGAAAAAGAGGACCAAAGTCTAGATCGTTCTCCGGTCATTCTGGGCAGCTCTTAGTCTAGGGCACAGTCCCAGATGGATCCGCCGGAAGGGGGTCCAGCAGGATCCCTGGGGAGCCCCAAAGTGGGGATGTGTGTACACAGCATTTTGGCTGGGGGCCAGGAGCTGCACCTTTCTTCTTAATTGTCCATTGCACAATGGGGTAGAGATGGAGGACCAGGACCCATACTGGCACTTCTCAGAGAACGGTGCATGCAAGGCAGCATAGTCAGGGTAGCCTTGCAGGGTTGTAATTTCCTCCCTGCAGATACCTGGGCTCAGGAAGTCTCCACCTTTCAGCTTGCACTGAGTTAACTTCCAGCTAAAACACTGTCAAGAGGAAGTGGAGACAGGGGCCTGGCTGCCTCTTCTTTGCACCTTTGTTCAAGACCTTCTGTTGTCATGTTCTGGAAGTAATGGCAGCCAGCAGCTTTTGGGAAAATGACCTGAACTCTTGACCTGGACTGTGAGATCCTGAGAAGTTTGACAGCTTCTTGGCCTCCTACACCTGTGCTATGCTGCTCTCACTCCTGCACAACACACACCATCTCGCCTTCCAGCTCAGGCCTGAAATGTTCTCTTCTCAGCCGACACATGAAACCCAACCACAGCTCCCCCACGACGCCTTCCTTGACCTCTTGTGAAGTCTTGGTCACTGTTTGCTGCCTCCTTCATCTCTTCCTACACTTCGGCCACAGTTCTGATTGATTTGTGGATTTCAATCTAGCATCGTGGGCTACAGCAAATTCAGGAGATCAGAGGCTGTCTTTGCCTGGCTTATTACATCCAGTGCAGTCCTAGCATGGTACCTGGCACACTTGTTGTTTGAGAAAACAAAGGAGGGTGTCTGGCAGCTCCTTTGATCCTTGAGCAGCCCCTGATACTGAAGGTGGACCTGGTTTAAGGTTAACACTCAGTAGGTTCCCAAGCAAAGCAAGTGACTCAATGAGTAAATGAGTTTTATGTGTTCTGGACAATTCTCAGGATGTCTCCGCCATTAAAGAGATCAGGTAGATGGACAGACAGGAACAAGGGAAAATTGGCACTACTACTTCAGGCTGAAATAAAAAAGATGAACAAAGACCAAGATATGCTAGTCCTGCGTTATCCAGTTTTACTTTCCCTGGTGTTAGTTATTGTTAATTATTGTCTGAACGTATTAACTGAAAAATTACATCAATAATTCATAGTTCCTTTTAAAAAATCTTACTATATAGTACATTGCAATATTTTATTATTAGCTATTGCACTTAACTCTGTGCCTGATAAGTAAATGGTATTCTATTTGATAGGTATGTGTGTAAGACAAGAACATGCAGGACACAGAAACCTCCGTGGTTTCAGGCATCTGGAACATCTTGGAACATTCACCCTACAGACAAAAGGAGTGACTAGATTTAGAACACATATAATCCTCAATTTAAGATTGTTTGATTTAGGATACTTTTTTAATTTTAAACTGGTGAGAAAGTGATTATGCATTTAGGAGCCGTAGGACTTTCAGTTCCGGATTTGATTGCGTCCAGGGCTCCCAGTGTGTATTCTGGTCCTTTCTGTGGTGCTGGCCAGCACGAGGGGACTGCAGTTCCCAGGCAGCTCAGCCCTGTGATCACAAGCAGGGAACAGACTGCGCTGCTGAGCTTGGTTGTTGAACAAGTTAGCTGTGCTCAACGCATGGTTGAGCACGTGAGAGTTTCAACTTAGGATGAGCACATTAGGAGCTGATCCTATTGTGAGTCAAGAGGAATCTGTACTGCTCCCTCTAATATAAGCTATTTTATACTTTGGGGAAGCTAACAATAGACCTCATGGAATAAGTGCATTATGAATTCATGTCTCTAGTTTATAACAGGGAGCAAGGAATTTTCACAAAGAGCCTAGTCCAGGTTGAGAAAACAGTGGAGCCAAGGCTCAGATCTGACTATCTAGTGCCACTCTATAGAGTACTGGAACCAGCAGCCTAACCCTAGCCTGATCCCTAACCCCAACCCCAACCCCAACCCTAAGTTATGTACTTGGTGTGTGGTCAATCTGAATGGAAACGTGCAGTAAGTAGAAAACACTTACTCAAAGACTTTGTTTTGAGCGGAAGGGTGCAGCCTATCTCACTGGTAAATGTTAAACATTGTTTACAAGTCAGGATGGTGTTTTGTACATATGAATACATAGAATGTATTCTATATACAGATTCTGTATTTATTTATTTATATTCTAAATACAGAATACATAGAATATAAAGTCACTGCCTCTTGTTTTATAACTTCTAAGGGGCTCCTGGAAATATATAAGTGACATCTGTGGCCACATCTCATTTTCTGTGGACAGTGCAGCTTTAGATTACAGAAAAGTACAGCCATAGTTCTACAGACTGAATAGAGTGTGATGCCATTTTTGACACAGTAGTGAGAATTCAGGACTAGACCTGGGAGATGATGTGCCTTCGAGAAACAGCAGCTGGATATCTACTAGAGAAAAAGGAAGTAGAAGGAGCTGAGAATCCCACCCTAAAATAGCCACTAGAAGGAAGCTGAGGGGCCGTTACCCTTCAGCTCAAAGCACAGGCCCTGCAGCATCAGGTCTCAGCTTGTTACAGGAACGCAGTTCATCTGTTACAGTGTTCCCCTCTTACTTTGGTAAGATGACAGGCGAACCTTGAACTGTTAACGTCCTCCTTCTGCCTTGCACATTCTAGGACCTGAGGAGTGAGGCTTGGCCTGTGTGAAGTTGTGTGTGTGTTGGTGCGTACATGTGTGTTCACATATGTGTGCATGCAAGAAGACAGTTGCCATCCAGGATGGACCTGAGCAAGGATTCTCTGCCATGCTGGAGAGCAGGCTGCCATGGAAGGCTGGGGACAAGAAGCTAGAAATGATCATGATGACGTGACCAATGGAAGTTCCACCATCCACTTACCAGAAGGGCAAAGTGCAGTACCACCCACACCACGCCCAGGGACGTCACTAACAGATCATAGCGGTTTCTTCTGCTCTGCCAGAAGCCAGCGGGCGACATGGCTATGATCTTCATTGTGACCTGGATAAGTAATAGAAAGGGGATAAGAGTTCAGTACATGCTTAAACCTACTAACGTGAGACATACATTTTTTCTAGTGATTTACTCAAGTGGCAGAGAGGGAAGGTGGGGGGAGAGAGAGAGAGAGAGATTGATTACTCCCATTTTCTTGTGAACTCTTTAAATGTTCAGAAGAGTAGGGACTAGGCCAGGGGCTGATTTAGGAGTCAGAAATGCATCCCAGGTCTCCCCTGTGACCTGCAGGTACCCAAGGCCATAAACCATCACCTCTGCCTCCCAGGTTTTGCACTGGCAGAAAGCTGGAGTCAAGAGCCAGCAGGTAGGAACCCTGGTGATCTGATGTGGGATTCGGGCCTCTAACCGCACTTTAAGTGCTAGGCCAAATATGTATCCAATATTGTCTTCATATAAAGCATGTAGTAAACAAAGAAAAAGTTTATTGCCAAGATATTTGCATCTATTTTTAGAGCATGGTAGGTGACTTCTCCACATCTATTTCTTCTTCTTTTATGACTGGTTCTAACAACAGGACATTTTTCTTCCTCAAGTAAAAAAAAAAAACAAACATAGATTTGGGAAAACATTAATCATTATAGAGTGACATAAGAATCCGTTTGTCCACCTGGAGACTGCATAATCTGGGAGTCAGTGTGGCCTAGTAGGAAGATAGTGGGCACCTCCCTCAGGGTTACCGCCCTCACTGGACAGCATGAAAACCAGGATAGGGGCAGGGGTGGCTAGACAGAAAGGCACCTGCCAGTAGGTGTATGGGCTGGATAATAGGTTGGTTGGGTTGAACTAGGCTTCAATGTCCATTGACATGTGCGAGAGCTAAATGGGATGTGGGACAGACTGGACAAGCCTGTGGTACATACTGGCAAGCATGGGAACCAGGGTAGGGGGCAGAACTGGTAGGGGTTTTGGGGAGTCGCCCCAACTAGGCTGCAGTTCCAACTGGTTTGCATGAAGACCGAGTATGAAATGGATAGGATCGAGCTGGACTACAACACCCATTGGTTCACGAGGAAGACGGGGCTGGAAACCGAATGGACCCAGCAATTGCAACGACCAGCATGTGCATAAGCTGATTGGTGTGACGAACAGTGTTGGAGTCTGTACTAGCAAACTCACGCAATAATCAGATCTGGGATCATCTCAGATGAAGCTTCTTTGGATATCTCTCCAACTGAACTGCTGATCTTGGAACCCCAACCATTAAGAGACTCAGCCAGTGGACTCTGAGTAGGTTTCATTGCGGTTGGGATGGTGAGATTGGCAGCAATCCGGAACTGATGAACTATCAAAACTGTTTGAGCAGGACCCTTGGAGAGCGCCTCATGTTGGGGATCAGGGATGGGTGGGAGGTTGGGTGGGGCTTTTCCCTTTGTTACTCCCCTAACCCCAGATACAGGGGAAAATGATTATATTAGTGTGGAAACAATGATATTACCCACTTTCACCCTGTAGCCCTTGACCCTTTGTACCCTAATCAACTAAGATTATTAAAATTAAAAAAAATTAAAAAATTAAAAAAAGAGAGAGACTCCGTTTGTATTTAGTAAGATCACCCTGGAGAGCGACTTTCCATAGGCCACATATTAAGTGAGCCCGGTGGGCCAACCTGCTTTGCCACCCTTTGTAATTTGAATCCCGGAATTACAATGGTGTGTGCAATCTGCTCCAGACAGGCCTATACAACAACCGACGGCTCTTCAGTAAGAGAACCCGGAACAGCAAGTGAGATTTCTGTTCCATGAAGCCAACCACCCAAACAGGGAAATACCCCGGGAGCATGCTTCCCCCAACCCACCTCAAAACAGACCCCAGACCTGAAACCTAAGTGCCATCGAAGGGGACGTCGATGCTCTGACTCAGTACTGTACCTCTAGAACAAAGATGAAGGTGAAAACCACGGACATGGTGGCCAGAGGGACGGTCACGGGGTCCTCCACATCCCACTGTAACAGAGACAGTGCACACGTCTGCCCCGTCCGACCCGCCCGCCAGCCCTGCCCCCTCCCACACATCTTCATAAAAGTGGAGTCCTAGGTGTTTTGTATTAGGAAATACAAACTGCAAATGGATGTGGCAGCTTGCAGTATTCACGGATGTCCCAATAAATGCCAAATCCCCTCCTAGAGATGTGGGTGAAATGAAGTACCTTGACAGAGAGCAGCACCGACTGGGCCAGAACTAGTAATGCAATTGTCCTCTTAAAAAACGGATGCTGGGTTATGTCATACATTTTAGCTCTAAAGCCATCATTATCTGGAAAAAAAAGGTTCAAGCAAGGGCATTTTAGACACGGTTCACATTGACTCTCATGTCTTTCATTTGCTTTAATGCTCATCTTAAAACCCATTATAGCTTTTCCCCTACAGTTCAATCTATTGTGGAGTGTTTTGCAGGAACAACGGGCTCTGAATATTTAAAATGACAGTGCATGACGCCAGCCACATTGGAAGGAGGGTTTCGTTCAATTTCTGTCAGCCTAATACATTTCACTTATATTTTCAAAAGGCAAGCACCAATGTATTTTTTACTTAAGAATTTATTTTTCCATTAAGGCCTATTCGAAGAGCAGTGAAGCACAGCCTTTGGGTGGCTGATTTTAATAGCCTTCTGGAGAGCTCATGAGTTTGGAGCCTGTTTCTGTATTAACTTATGCAAACCTCCACATGGCCTCACAATTATTATTTAGATTTAAATCTGAGGCTCCTGGGGAATCATGAACACTAGTGCCCAACATGAATAAAATCAGAGCATCTTTGATACCCGGGCGAGGTGGGAGATGAAGGGGCTGCGCGATCTTCAATCTGCTCTTGAGGTCTTCCCATCGTCTCTGATCCACAGTCAGCAAAGCCGTCCCCTGGACAAACAGAGCAGAGCAGGTGCAGATGCAGGAAAAGGATGTAGCAGAGAGGGTGGTGCTATGAACAGGACCCGTGCGGGGGTCGCTTACAAGAAAGGTCTTCTTCAAATACCATGAAGGCTACGGAAACACAGTGGGAATTTGCAATGCCCCATCTTAAGGGAACTCACTAAGCAAGTGGTAACGAAGTGTTTCAGGAAGGAGTCGGTAGCCTTCTGGCTGTGTCCTGAAGGAAGCATGACAATCTGTGTGATTGCCTTTGGGAAAGGGGAGGCCAGTCATCAGTGCTTTAGTGTCACGTCATTGCAGCAAAATTAGAACTGGTTGATGCCTTTTCCAGTTCACCTTGTCACCTTTAAAATACTTAATATATACAATCATAGAACTATTTTTAATAGGTGTGAGTCTTAGGATTTTTCCACTTCAGGACATCAGTACTGTGATAACGGGGTAAGTGGGATGGGAACTGTCTGTATGACACTACTTGATTAAAATGCACCTAAGTCATATTGCCCTACGTTGGGTTTTACTTTATCATAAAGGCAGAAGTATAATTCAAGAAACTGGAAAACAAAATTCACCCTCACATCTACTCTGAGTTAAGGGCTGTTCTTAAGAGGGCATCCCCTTGCCGGCCTCCTAATCTTTACACTTAGGAATGGACAAATCTAGCAGAATGGATTGACTTTGAATTTGTATGATATGTATAAATGGCATCCATGATGTGTTCACTGATGCAGTTCATCTTTACTGAGTGATGTTTTTCATGCACCCAGATGACTGGATCTAATCTGGTAACTGCTCACAGAGAAGTCCTCTGTAGAAATGTATCAGAAGTCCTTAATTTCAGCTTCGTGACTTGGCCTGGTACAAGAGACTGTCTACTGGTGAGCATCTCTGAGTGTCTCTCCATCGGAAGGCTCTGGGGGAAGGGCTGCGGGGTCCTCGGCATCTAAGCAACTTTACATTTACCAGATAGTGCCACCTGCCAGCCAAGGGGAAGGAGCCAAAAAACTCTCCCAGCAAAAAAACAAGCCTATTTCCTTTTATCCTTGCCAATATCATACTTTAATTTGGACTTTCTCAATTTTACATGTGAAATTTTTAAATGATTTTTCTCTAAGTAATTTATGGTTTTGTGAATTTTTTTGACTTAAAAATTAGAATACTGTCTGAGTATTTTCAGACAATGAGGTTTGATTTCTTTTGATTATAACAAGGGACCATGGCCTGCACGCCATCACTCGTGGGCAGTGTTGCTGGATGACATCTAGGAGAGAACATTTTGCACTTGAAAACGACACATGTTCCCAAATAACTGGGTTCGGTGTTATTTTTTATGCTCATAAGATAACCATTTTATTGGATCAGATTTTACATATTCTTTTTTATTGTGTGTCTTATGAACTTGTTAGAGAAATATCTTAGTACTTTTCACTATGATTTTGGATTTTGTAGGTGAATTTTACAACTTGGTTAACTCTTGCTTCAAACATTTTAAGTTGCAGATGCTCCATCTTTCTGTTCATGGGCTTCTGAATTATAGCTTTCATTCCTAACAATAACATGTTTTAAATTAGTTGCTTCTGATATTATGTTGGCAAGCTACTTTTTTTCACTAAGAAACAAAGGCCTACTCTTTGGCTGCCACAAACATTAATGCTATGCCTTTGTCAAATACAATATTTCAGAAATTGAACTCTAGAAGGATTCAAAATAATAACAAACATGGATGTCTTATCAATATATGATGCTTTCTTCAAGTTTCAAATTAAGCATATTACTTTAATGCATGGTCTTATCATGGGGCCACCAAGAAAACAACAACAATATTAATAATTAATAATAATAATAAATTGCTGATACTCATTTGCAACTTTGTAAAAAGGCTTCTTTTTTCTGAGACAGACCTATGTTGGACAACTCTGAATCCTGCAAGCTTTTCTCCTCCTACAGCTTTTCTCATTCCCCACATCTATCTCTATTTTCAATGAGAAGTAAATTTTCACCTCTTGGTTACGGGTATTAACACACCTGCTCCCAGAGGACAGAACTCTGTGTGCCCAGTGTAGTTTAGCATGGTACATCCGAAACGCCAAGACCAGTGTCTTCTACGTAGCAGGTAGAATAGCCTTTTGAGTGGCTGCAGAATAAACGAACAGACTCTTGCCTAACAGCTCATGTAAAAGTCTGCAGGAAAGGGCCTGGCATGGTAGCCTGGTGGCTAAATCCCTGCCTTGCATGTACCAGGATCTCATATGGACATAGGTTCGCATTCGTGCTGTTCTACTTCCCTTCCAGCTCCTTACTTGTGGCCTTGGAACGCAGTAGAGGATGACCTAAAGCCTTGGGACACTGCACCCCCATGGGAGACCCTGAAGAAGCTCCTGGCTTTGGATTGGCTCAGCTCTAGCCATTGAGGCCACTTGGAGAGTGAACCAGTGTATGGAAGATCTTTCTCTCTGTTTCTCCTTCTCTCTGTAAATCTGACTTTCTGATAAAAATAAGTTTGCAGGAAAGAACAAATTTTTTCTAAAAGGTTAATTCAATTTAGAATGTCTGTGTCCAACTAATTAATTGAGCATGTGGTGTCTGGAAGAAGAATTCTCACAATGCTTTTTGTCCCTACACCCATTTGAGCTGACCAACTTGGCACTGCTAACAACCCCTTGCTTGCTGTCTCCTGCAGAAGAGACAGTAATGGAAGTGGACCTCACTGGTGTTCTGCACATTTTAAGTCTAAGTTCTGTGTTCAAGCTCCTTGTGTACTTGTTTTCAAGTATTAAACATTTCGTGTTGCTACATTCATGCTGCTGAGCTGTAAGCAGCCACGGGTCTCAAACCTCCTGACATGGGCACACGTTCATGCTGTGGATGAGTTCTGAACAAGTGGTACCTAAGCACACTGGTTCACTGGCTCTCTCATTTCTGCTCACATTCCAGAATCGCCGCTGGCTTCCCCATAAGGCACAGGTCAAGGGCATGTAGAAAGATCCACTTTCCCCTTTCTGCCTGGTGTTACACTGAACACACTGTGGGATGTCCAAAAAAAAAGAAAAGAAACAAAACCAAACCTCACATACAGTCTAGGTGACATGATCACTACGGATCTTTTTAACTTTAGGCATCCCTATGTCTGTAGGCTGGAGTAGTCTTGGAGCCTAAATTGTGTGTGGGCTGTTAAACTGTACCCTCTGAAAGCCGCAGTGAAATGCTACACTAAGGCATAATCAAAGGACCCACTGACTGAGCTCATGCTCCCACACACACTGAGCCTGTGCATAGTGAATGTTAGAGCTCCATGTGTGAAAACCGGACAGCTCCGATGTGAATGCATAGGAATCAGTGAGGCCCTGGATGACTTGGGACAGCATGGGGCTTTGGGGGCAGGAGTCGGTGTGACCCTGGATGACTTGGGACAGCATGGGGCTTTGGGGGCAGGAGTCGGTGTGACCCTGGATGACTTGGGACAGCATGGGGCTTTGGGGCAGGAGTCAGTGTGACCCTGGATGACTTGGGACAGCATGGGGCTTTGTGGGCAAGTCCAGCTTTTAGAAAACACAGAATAAGGGCTGCCATCTTTATCCAGTCACCTTGGGAGACTCCTAGACCCTGCATTCTAGGCACCACTTCTGAATTTGGGTACCAATTTCTGCTCGTTAAAAACTGATAATGTGACTGCTTCTTCTTCAACCACACATTTGGAGTTGTGAGACTGAGATTAGTAATGGTCAAACCTCGGTCCGTAGTAAGTGCTCAAAGAATAGAAGCCTTTCAGTTATCATGACTCCAAAAGTCTGAGCCTTGGGCCATCGATGCCCCGTTAGCTGGGTCCAGAAGCCCAAGCCAGCTCTCCAAAGAACAGTATAATACAATGTTCTTCCCTGAACTGTTTATTTTTTCCTAAACCAATCTGAAGCCAGAACACAGGATTCTCTTCCTGATCTCCCACGTGGGTACAGGGTCCCAAGCCATCCTTGATTGCCTTCCCAGGCCACAAGCAGGGAGCTGGATAGGAAGTGGGGCTGCTGGGACAAGAACCAGTGCCCATATGGGATCCTGGTGCATGCTAGGCAAGGACTTTAGCCACTAGGCTATCGTGCCGGGCCCCTTGAACTATGTTTTGATAGGAAACCCCATTGCTGTTTTCTCATTTGTGAGTCCTTGTGTCAAACATCAGGGCTGTTCCAAGCTCTGTGCACTTTCCAACCTCACGAAAGATGTAAACTTTGTATAAAATTAGAAAGTCTTTTTATGCCATGAATTGGAATTTTGTAATTATGCTGCACCTTGCACCCCACCAGAATTTTGAGTTCCCCCACTGAGTTACAGAGAAGCTTACCATTCCCATTTTGTGAGTGGTATCACCTGCGATCAGTGACTCCCTTTCATCTACTGTACTTTAATAACTTGCCTCCCAGCCTTTCAACCTGAACAACAGGAGATGCCCCTCCCAGCTGTCCGTGGATTAATGACACTGTTACCAAAATGGTAAGTTTAGCCAGGAGATTCGCACTCTTCAGTAAAGTGGCCGAAAGGCAGCAAGGAGGCGGCTTGTAAGATAGTTACAGAGATTATTTATATCAGTCACATTAGACTTGAACGTGACCATGCCGTGAGTGGGTGGCTGGGGAGGGGAGGGTGCTGAGAGTGGCAGCGTTCAGACGGAAGATTCTTACCTTGTTTTCATTGAAATTAGCAATAACGACTCCAACAAAAAGGGTCAGTCCAATCATACAACCCAGGAATACAAAAACATGAATATAGATTCCATGGATCTGCATAAAGGAGACACAGGGTTATTCATCAAAGCCACAGAAAGCTGCTCTGGAAGCTTTCAGAAGATGCCATGGCTTGCTTACCGGCCCTACACGATGAATAATAACATCTCTCACTTCCACCCAGCCTTTCAAGGAGAGGACTTCAAACAAGGCCAGCATAGCATTCCCCACGTTGTCAAAATTAAAGTTCCGAGGATTCGCCCTGCGATGCAGAAAGAACATTCTGTGAAATGCCAATGAGACGGACCCAAAGGCCAATAGTGACAGCTCTTTCCGGTTGCGGGTACAGTGGGGATGTTTCCTGCGGGATGGTGGACACCCCAAGTACGCCCTGATGTGGTGCAGTTGATTAAGAGTGCTCTTATGGAACCACAGAGTGGTCTTTGTTTAATACAAAATGCTAAACAACTCTAGTTCCTGTGTTACAGGCTCTGCCGTGATGCACCACGTTCTCCTTGTGTAGAGGATGGGAAGTTCATGTTAGATGTTTGCACAAGGAACACTGGGTTTTAGGAATAGCTTTAAACTGCATCTCCTGCCTTAGTGTAGAAGATACAGGAGAAGCAGACTTTGGCCATGTCTAAGGAGTTGATCCTGTAGGTCGGTAGTGCGTTTGGAGGTCGCTGAGATGGCGCGGGATGCTTGCTCTCCCAGCTGGGTTTTTGCCTTTCACTAACTCACAGTGCCCACAGAGCCTTCCTGTGAGCACCAGTGTGTGGCATGTGCCTGTCTCCACAGCTGACTGCTGACACACTCGGGTGCCACTTCTCCCTCTGTGCATCTCCCTTTTTGTTTCTCTGCCAGGGTTACACATTTTCTTCCCACTTAAGGACGTCAGTCTGTCTACTGCCTCCTTTTTTGTTATGGGTGTTGGCCAACATTTGTGTGATTGAGAGAAAAAACTTTCAGAGTTCCCCCACTTTTTATTCTTCCTTACTCAAGGATATTTTAAGCAGTCAGACGATTTCTTCAACTCTGCACTGAAAACTCGTGGCCTCTCACTGCACTTGCTGAATCTGATGAAGACCTGAGCTCTGGACTGCCGGCTGGAGTAGACCCATCGCAGCTGTCTGAACTGACTTAGCCCTCATGGAAATGTGCAGGACGGGTTGAGGGAGCTTGTTAATGCTTTTGAAACTCCGCAGCCCATTAGGAGATGCAAGTTACGGATTTAAAAAATACTAAATCGACACGGATCTGGTAAGAGAAAAAACACAGAACTAAAACTCCCAAGGGTTTATGGCCAGCTGGGGTGGAGCTGTTTTCTTATATAGTGCAACATCCCTACTCGAAGTTCATATATTGAAATTTTGATATATATTTTTAAAGGAAGGTCCAAATATATATCCTTTTCGATTTTGCCAACTTGTCTCCTGGGGACATTTCGGTTAAGCCTCAGGTATTTTGCTATAGACAGAAATCTCAAGATTCTACAGATAGCACAGCTTGCCTGAATCCGGATCTCTTTAAGCCAAGTGAAGCAGATTTCATAGCCGATGCTGGACTTCCTTGCTCATCCACTTTCATTATGTAAAAGTGCTTTGCTAGCTGCATTTGGAGCAACACAACCTGCTTTCATATCCCTTGTCTGTTAGAAGCTACAGTGTTTTGAAAATATACTTCTAGGCAAAACCCAGCGAAATGAAAATGCGTTTTTTAGATCTAAAAGGCCGAAAGCACGCTGCACATTTTAAAAAGTGTTCTTCCTGTTTTAATCATATATGATGCTTATTCATGCTTTGCTCATAGCAGCAAAAGTTTTGAGCCCTTATCTGTGATCACAGATGACGTCAACAAATCCCAGACATATCTCACTGTTGTCACTTCACACAGTTTACTTCCTTGAATTGGGAGGCACGGTTATTTGACTACCACCTCTGCTGGTCCGTATAGAGGCTTATCTGTGTTGTGTCAAATTCTTTGTGTGTTGTTTTATTTTTTATATTTCACTAGACTTTAGGCTCCAAGCGGACAGGGGCCAAAGGCTCATGCAAACTGTGCCACAGTGCTGGCATAACCCCTGGGGCCTGGCAAACACTCAGCGTGTTTATTGGGAGAGGAAACATCGGCCTCTGTGGAGTTTGTGTCCTGCAGGCCAATTTCCTATATCCTAGACGTCTGCTTGAAATACAAGCCCCAGTATTTATAAGATATGATATGTTTAATCATGTTACAGAGGGTTGTTTACCTCATCAATCTGAGTGATTCAGAAGGAAATGAATGAATATAGAAACTAGATCATCTCCTGATATTCTAATTATAATCACCAAAGCTTTCCTCTAAGGCACATTCCCACCAGATATTAGCTGCGTGTAGCTGTTTTCTTAATCAAAATTAAACCAATATAAGATTAAAGTTATTTTGTATCATTAGCTTATTAAAGAAGGAAAATGTAAAACTGTCCATTGTTACCATGGACATTTTTTTAGACTGAAGATTTTTATTTCACTACAACTAATCCTGGGAGAAACATGATGTCCACAAAGTCCTGTCTGCTCACTTATGTTTTTTAAAATGTTGCTGACCTTGAAATCCCTCATGATAACTTCCATAAAATATCACATTTAAATTAGCTTTGATTTTGAAAATGGCATTTCTCTGGCTTCAGTATACCTGGGGCCAGGCACGCTCTTCCATGGCGTTGCCTTCCAGAGCGCTCCTGGCTCCTTCCCGACATCGTAGGGGTAGTCCCAAGGCTCCAACTCAAGGCCAGACTCAGAACAAGCCAGCTCCACTTTGCAGCACATCTTGGTTGTCTACCCTGTACAAGAGCCCTCCTCAGCCCCTCAGGCCTGTTCTGTGGCCCGTGGGGTTGGGACTCAGAGGGAAAAGTGTCAGCCTGGCTCTTCCTCTTCCTCCTCTGCAAACCACGATGACATGATAGGGGTGGAGCTAAAGAGACAGAGTTGAAGTGCATGTATCATGCTGCTGGACTCTGGCCAGGGGTACCATTGTCACAGCAGCCATCAGGTGCATCTGTGTGTCCCTATGAGATACTCCCTGTATTTACCATATTTCTAGCTCTGTAACATCTGTCCCAAGTATACATGCTAACATATTGTGCTCCATTCCTGATGATACACCTGTGCAGCCATCTCTGGCAGGAGCCCCTTGGCTGGGGGACGTGTTTTCCATTACAACCGACCAGAATGCACAGCCCCAAATATTACTATTATGAGGCTTTTACAGGCATGGCCACTCTCCATCTGTCCTGTGCTCTCTATGACCAAGTACCAGACAACTCAGGAGGGCTGCTATGTCCCTGAGCCAGTGGGAACTGTTCAAGCTAGGCAGCCCAAGTCCACCTGCCCTCCTATGCCCCAACGCACTGTTCTTATCCCAGGGAAACCACAATCCAGGCTTTCCCAGCTTCCCCACAGTTCTCTCCCTCTGGTTTGGGACCAATCTTGGTCTTCCTTGTGGGGGTCCTTCATGGTCAATTGCCTCTTGGGAAGAGTAAAGAATAAACCAGCCTCTGGATGGCAGCTGTCACCTGATCTTTTGGCATTCCTCCAGTTCAGATTTTCTAGCAATTTCAGAACACTGCCCAGCACAGAGTACCCCACTGCAGCACACCTGCAGTGAGCATGCCGTTCCTGAACAATTTTCAGCTCTGCCTCTGGAAACACACACACAGACTCCTCCTGTGGCGGTGTCCTGTCTGCTGCAAGCAGCCCTTGGTAGCACAGCTCCACTCAAGGCACTTCACATGGGCAGCCCTGGGAATGGCTACACCACCCTCCAGTGTCACCAGGTGCCCTGTCCTGCAGCTGGTCCAGAGCAGCATGGCCTGCTCCTGCCTTGGCAGTAAGAAACCACAAGTGCCTGGCGAGGAGGCATCCTTACCCTCTGTGCTTGGGCAAGGGGCGGTGCAGGCACACACTCTCTAGGCCTCCCTTCAGTTACCTCTGGGACACTGTTTTAGAAAGGAGCATTTTCCCACATATACTAGAGCGAGGTGCTGGAGGAAGAATCTGCTAGGAAGCCCTGCTGGGATGGGTCTGATTGTTCTCTTTTGGAACATAAAGGTATTCTACTCCTAGGGACCTCGGCTTTGACGTTTTAACCAAAATCTCAGGCGAAAACAAAACAAACAAAACACCCTACTTGATATGATGCTATAATTACTTAAGGTAAACTGAAGTTTCATCTCATAAAAATAAATATTTGGTTTTTTAGTGTTTTACTTTAACATAAATCAGACTGCTTTTCTAGGTAGCCCTAGGATGATAGTATCTCCATGGGTTCTATTTCTGTCCGTGCTTCAATCACATATCCAAAATTCACCTCATTTTCTGGTTCTTGGCATTCAAACACAGTAAAGTCTTGGTACAAAGCATGTGGAATTGCTTATGAAAGGGAACTTGATGCTAGTTAGAGACACGTCAGGTGACAGGGAGTCCTCAGGCTCAGGTGGGTGAAATGCTGTTCCCTGAAAGACACTGAACGTGAAGAAGGCTGGCAGCATCAGTGGGACAGAGCGCAGGTGCTGACGTTATTCTAAGCGGGGGAAAAACTGAAAAAGTAGGTAGCAGAAGGGATGAGTGATGGAGCACTCAGCTCATCAACAAAGCCAACTGAGCCATGCTGTGCACGGCCATGGACACAAGAGATGAGCAAGAGGGCCCTGGGTACTTCGCCTTGGACGTGAAATCCAGGAGAGCTCATTTCAGGAAAACATGAGTTTTCAAGGCAGAATTAGACATAATTAACCGCATTCCTGATGATGCCTCCCCAGAGTGTCAATCATGAGATCCTTTATGGTGCATGGGCTTCCAAATCAAAACAGCTTTAGGATTTAGGGTTTTGTCCAACCATTACAAATAAGATCCACTCTTCATGATATAAACTCAGAATGAGTTTAATTATAATTTGATAGGAAAATGAGCTTTTTAAAGAACCTAATTTTTAACGTCACTTGAATTCACACGCATACTTCTAAAGTGTTATAAAAATATTGAGGTAACATTGTAATAGGTCAGGAAGCAATTTTGACTTTACTTTTGTGTCCCACTGTGTTCTACTTCTTTGCCCTATCTTACTTAAAATCATTTCAATCCATCTAGCAAAATTACTTTCAGCTCCCTGCATCATTATTCTGATTTAAAACCTTATATTGACAGATGTCTCATTTTTCATCTTTTTTTTTTTTTTTGGATATGCTTACCAGACTCGAGGTACCCAGAAACCAGGTTTTTTCTCTCCAGGTCTTAATTTTAAATTTAAGTTCTTGGAAACACTGACATTTATTCTGAATATGCCATTGCAATCTTCCTAAAGTGGGGGGAAGAAAAGAAAATTCACTTAGGAAACAGAAAAATTAATAAGACTTCTTCCGTGGACTAACAAAACCTTTGTTGAACAGCAGGGATGCGGATACCCTCCCAGCAAATGGGAACAAAGACTCTGGGCCCCAGCAGGGGAGTGCTGTGCTGAAGACATTGACAAGTGGATCAAGAATCTGAACAGACATTTCTCCAAGGAAGACACACACTTGGGTGATGAGCCCATGACAAGCTGTTCAACAGCATGACCCAACGGAGAATCAACCGAAGCTCCTGCACAGTCGCCACACTAAGGCCTTCACGCAGAACTCAGAGCAGTTGTCCTGCCACTACACTGCTTTGCCATCACATCCCTGTGGCCAACCGAGATGTGACAATATGAAATGGAAAATCCATCGGGGTGCAAAGTTGTAATTGTTCTAGGTGATTATTGGTTGCTGCTGTCAGTCTTGTACTGGGCTTCATTTACACAGCAAGCCTTACCATAAGTACATTACATATATGAGAAAACCTTGTTCCTGGGGGTTGGTAGGCTGCACGGATTCAGGAATGTATCGGACATCTCAGGAGAGATCTCCCATTGTTAAGGCCTTGCTGTAGTACGGCAGTGTCACTGAGAGGTGTGTGGGAACCACCTGGCAGGTGCGTGAGGAAATCAGAATTTTTATACTGCTAGCCTCAAAGATGGCTGGCGAGTTCGAGGAGTCCAGCCCCTTTTGAAAACTGTCTGAAATTCCCTAATCAACTATATAGAGTTACTGCATATCCCAGGAATTCTACTTACAGCTACCTACCCAAAAGAAATGAAAACTCATCTGCTCAGAAGGACACTCACAAATATTTACATCTGTATGATTCATGATAGCCTCTGCCTGTCCATTCTTGGACAGATGTACAAACCAAATGTGGCATAGTGACTAAATCAAATACAACGCGGCTATAAAAAGGAATGAAGGATGGGCATATGCTACAACATTTATAGTCCTTGAAAATAGTTGACCAATCACAAAATAGCATATATTATATGGAAGTCCAATCATTGGGAACTTTACAGAGACTAAAAGGTAGGTTGTTATTGTTTAGGGCCAGAGGTAGCCAGGTGGGTGAGTGGGTGCAGGCACTGGACAAATACGAGTTCCTTTCCGAGGTGGTGAACATGTTGTGTAAGTGAATAGGCTGTCGGGTGCCTGAAGGGCAGGGATTGTGTAGCAGGTAAGTTAGATCTGCACAAAGCTGTCAAAACATTTTCTATTTCGAAAACAGAGCGTTGCTGGGAAGTTTCTGCCTTGTCTCCCACACGCCCTTAGGTTCCTGTTACCTTGGCTTCTTTGACAATGACTATCCAGTTTTGAGTCTGACAATCTAATGTCGCTGGATCACCACTGAAATACTTCCACAGAAATTCAACTTTAACCATAAACATGTGTCTCCCTGGTTTTGCTGCTTCTGGCCATGAGCCAGCAGGTTGTCACTAAATCCAGCACTTGCATCTCTGAGAAGTCTGGCATTTCCCCATCATTCAGGGTTCACATCGGCATTCCAACTAGTTTAGTCACTGTCAGCATCATCTTTTTTGGGCTTGGCAATAAAATTCAACAAAATTGGGCCTGGCATGGTAGCCTAGCAGCTAAAGTCCTCACATTCAATGTGCTGGGATCCTGTATGGGTGCCGGTCCTAATCCCAGCAGCCCCACTTCCCATCCAGCTCCCTGCTTGTGGCCTAGAAAGCAGTCAAGGAGGGCCCAAAGCCTTGGGACCCTGCACCTGTGTGGGAGACCTGGAAGAAGCTCCTGGCTCCTGGCTTTGGATTGGCTCAGCTCCAGCCATTGTGGCCACTTTGGGGAGTGAATCATTGGACAGAAGATCTTCCTCTCTGTCTCTCCTCTTCTCTGTTGGGAAGGATGCCTCCATAGCCTCATTGTGTAGGGCATCTTCTAGACAAAGGAAGCGCTTCAGAGAGGCCAAGTAGCTCGAGTAGCCATGACTGCACTGCAGCAGGAGGCTCCTCTTGTGAGCAGGTGCGCAAGCCCCTTTGCTCGCTCTGCCCTGCACCATGACTGCATGCTCCGTGTCTTTTCATAAGCTGTTTGCTCACTTTGGAAGGCTCTTTCCTGTTCATCTCCTATCTTAACTCTTCACTACACAGACTTCTCCGCACAGCCCCGGCAACTGGAAACATGAACTCCCACACAAAACCCAGGTTGTACATCACCCTCAGACCACCATGAGAGCTGCAGTGACTCAGGTCTGGATTCCTTAGCTCTGTCCTCATTGACCTCCAGCCATCTGCCTTCAAGTTTTAATAAAATAAAGAGGAGAAAGAGTGCTAGTGAATACCAAGACAAGAATGCCTTCTCTCTAGGGGACAGCTTGGTGGCACAGCTCCAGGCTCACAGCCTGTACACAGCACGCGAGCCCAACACTGGCGTGGCTGCTTTCCCCTCGTCCCTGGGTGGTATTCTTTCAGGCAAACGGGTGCAACCTCCCAGTCACAGCTGCTGTCCTCTCCATCCCCACGGTGTGCCTGCTCCTGGCCTCTTGGTCACTGTGATCAGCTGAGTTACAAACTCTCACACCATCGCTCATCCGTCCTTCTAACAGTTTGCCTGGGCTGATGCGCTCTGTGACAGCCATGCCCCCCAGGATCTCCTTAGGGGACTTCTGCAGATCCCACTGCTCCAGAAAGGAAAATAAATGCATCCCGTCGGTGTGTTTGCTCCTCCCCAGGCCGTTGTGCATCTCCCACGCGAGTCATCAATCTTGAGCATGGGCTGGGTCCGAGCACATAATGTAAGATCCTCGTGCTCTTCGGCCATTGTTCACACACTGAGTCGCCCGGCATTCCTAGCAGGCTTCATTTCGAAATGTTGTTATTGTCTTGCCGGCTTCTATTCAGTGTGACTCTAAAGCAATCGCTGATGTAGGAGTCTGAGGCTTCACACATCAGCTCCTCCTCCGCCTCCGCTCACTAATTTGGATCACCACGTTCCTTATGACATCTTCTTAAGTTTCTTGTTGTTTCTGGAACGTTTCTTGCTGTCTGGCACTTTCTGACAAACCTCATATTAATATAATTTATACGGAATATATTTTGACTAGACAAATATTATCTGGGTGGACAATTAAATAGCTAATATTTTTATAAATCTGTATTAGTCATGCTTTCTAGAAACATACAATAGTTTAGCTCTATTATGTGTTCTGGAGACACACGTTTTAATTAAATTAAGGCATGATTTTAGTAGTATTGAAGAGAAAATATTTTTGCTATTTTATACAATAGCAGTATTGGATAATTTTTTTTTTCAATTAATCTACTTGCAATAGAGAAGAATCTCAACAAAACAGGACCCTGGGTGGCTTAATAGAGAGACTGGTATTTTATTAACCAAACTGTGTGGCTTTTTTGCCCAACAGACATCACAAAAGCACACTTTCCAGCCTCCATCCATCCTAGAATGCAGGCTGACGTGGTGATGTGTGCCTTTTTGAAGCCGGGCCCTCTGCCTGAGATACCTGCCAGCAACGGGGAGAAGATGCTAAACACACACAAGGGTGGGGACACAAGGCAGGGTGCAGCACATCTGGAGGAGAGCTGTCCAGCCCATTCGAAAGCAACGCACACGCGGCAGTGTGCTAGCTACGGAGCAGCTCTTTGCGGCACTGAGAGAGAAGGGCTGCGGTGAAGGTGCTGAAGTTGGATTGCTGTTGGTCTTTCTATGATTCTCACAGAGAAAGGATCTGGGCAGCCTGGCATGCATAGGCGGGCACTGGCCGTCCCGGGGGAGGAGGTGAGCCCAAAGACCCAAGGAAAAGCAGATGTGAGAGACAGACTTGGCCCCCTTGATTTTGTTTGTTTGTTTGATGGGCTGTTTGATAATATGAGGCAGGGTCAAGGTGAACATGAACTAAAGGGAAGGTGTCTAAGACTCATGGTCACAAACATCTGGAATCTTGGGTGACCACGCCCAGGCTCTCAATAGGATAGGCACTTCAACAGGAGAGAAGAGGAGGCTCCTAGGAGGTGTGCCACACCTCTACAGCTCCTCACAGGGGTACCATGCCTCCCAGAGTCCCTCGGAGGTGTAACACATCCCACGGCTGCCCGGAGGTATACCGCATCCCCACAGCTCCTCCAAGGTGCACTGCAACCCCATAAACCTTCCTGGCTGGACAGGGACACTGTGTGCTTCCAGCACAGAGAAGTTCACGGCAGGAAAATTCTCGGTCTGGCCAGATGGGCACCTCAGAGCAGCAGTGGCCACCACTGGCCCACGTGCTTACTAACGGACCCGGAACGACTGCAATTTTCATTCTAAACAATAGAAAGGGATGCCTTACCCTTCTGATAATGTTGGGATCATTGCACTTCGCCAGCTTTCCAGCAAAAAGCTGAACTCCAAAGCTTGCAAAAACAAGCATTAATGTCAGCAAAAGAATGGAAACCTGAAAGAAATGGATGAATATTAAATCCCTCATTTCTATTCAGTTAGCTTCTGAAATACCAGAAGGAGGAAATTAACAACATATTTTGCATTTCTGAAATAAAAATGTACAACTTTTCATGTAAGAAAACAGAACAAGGTATTTTTCATATAGCTTGGGAATATCTGATTTTAAAATCAACACTTACATTTTAGCCCTGGGGAACAAAGGAAAATATTTAGATCATGGAATTTTGCCCATTTGTCCATAATGGATTTATGTCTTTATGAGCAGAGTATACCTCACAGCAAGAGAGGCTTTGTTTCCTAGCGTGTTAGCAGAACGCGCTGTGCGTGCACGGAGGATGCGCACAACTCAGTCCTGAAAAACCAACGTGTCAGTCAGCTCGTGTGCCCTCTGCTGGCTGACAATTTAGACTCACAGAGCTAAGGGGCAGGCAGAGCAAACCATCCAACTTCCAGGCGCATAATCCAGGAGTGAGAGAGACCTGGGAGGGAAATAGTGGGCTCCTCCCTCTTGGGTTACCACTCCCATGGGAGAGCACAAAAACTAGGACAGGGGCTGGAGTAGCTAGACAGAGAGGCACTCAACAACATCCGTGAGGGCTGGATAGTTGAGCTGGTTAGATGGAACTAAGCTTCAATACTCATCGACATGTACGAGAGCCAAATGGGATATGGGGCAGACTGGACTAGTCTGCTACACATACTGGCAAACCAGGGTAGGGGCAGGCCTGCTGGGGGTTATTGTGGGTCACTGACTAGGCTGCAGCTCCCACTGGTTTATGTGAGGGCCGAGTATGTGCTGGGCAGAACCAGGCTGGACTGCAACACGCATTGGTTCCAGTGGAAGTTGGGACTGAAAACAGAACCAACCCAGCAATTGCAACCACCAGCTGATCGGGCCAATGGACTGTGCTGGGCCCTGTACTTGCTAGTACATACAAGAATTTGGTCTTGGACCCGGCGCGGTGGCGCAAGTGGTTAAGGTCCTCGCCTTGCATGCCCGGGATCCCATATGGGTGCCGGTTCTATCCCGGCAGCCCCGCTTCCCATCCAGCTCCCTGCCTGTGGCCCGGGAAAGCAGTTGAGGACGGCCCAAAGCTTTGGGACCCTGCACCCGCGTGGGAGACCTGGAAGAGGCTCCTGGCTAAGGATTGGCATAGCATCAGCCGTTGCGCTCACTTGGGGAGTGAATCATCGGACGGAAGATCTTCCTCTCTGTCTCTCCTCTCTGTATATCCGCCTTTCCAATAAAAAAATAATAAAAATAAATCTTAAAAAAAAAAAGAATCTGGTCTGGTAACATTTCAAAGTTTCTTTGGGGATCTCCCCAATCGAAACACCGGACTTAGAACCCTAACCAAGAAAAGACAGAAGACAGAACAGGTAAATCAACTACCTCAGCTATATGTTGGCAGCAAAATACTGGACAAATGGAGACTATATGATGGACTATGTCAATCAGTGGATTCTTCAACAACCTCATCGTGCTTGGAGTGGCGAGACTGGCAGTGATTCATAACTGGTGAACTATCAAATCCACCTGAGTAAGAATCTCAGAGAATGCCCCACATCTGGGACCTGGGGTGGGTGGGAGACTGGGTGGGGCTTCTCCCTCAATATTCGCTTCACCTTAGATATATGAAGGAAACAGTACGGAAATAATAGTCTTACCCACTTTCCTATAGCCCTTGTACCTTTTTACCCTAATTAACTATGTAAAGAGTATCAAAAATATAATACTAAAAAAAACGAATCCAAACATGGGATTTAGGCATACTAAAATGACACAGAGAAAGGCCAGACTTCTCTTCTAAAACCCATCGGTGATCAAAAGTTTCCTTTGCATTAACTCTCAGGTAAAAGTCTGTTTTCCCTCAATCCCAGCTGTTTGACAAGTCACACTGTTACAGATGTATGCAAAAAAAAAACAGAAAAACAAGGATTTTTAAATGCCCCCTTTTAAAAAAAACATATTAGTAACAGTATGCCTCTGGTAATATCACAGTGCCTTTAAAATACCACTGCTTCAAGTGCAACTGCAGCTGCATCTCACCAGGGGTGTTTGTAGAAAGCAAAACACAAAACACGTTATGTAAATTAGCTCATGCTTTTCATGCACAAGAAGAATGCATCAATAATAAAAGGAATGCTTTGATCATTCTTTTGTAAGGCAACGAGACTCGTTCATTCTTTTATCTTCAGCTCGGTGGTTTAGAAGACCTTAAATCAATGTTTGCCTAACTTAAAAGAATATGCTCTCCCTCAATCACAGTTGTAAGCATTCATCACTGTACACTGAAGTCACCTGAAGTTGTTTTAGATGACTGTTCACAAGATCTAGAGACCAATTTTATACTGTTTGAATAAAACTGTAAGCCTAAATGCATCAAGTCACACTTTCATGGAGTAAATCATGGTGAGTCTTCATAATTTCCAAACGGGAAGCTAACCCAGAGTAAAAATTAGGACAAAAAGGCAAGAGAGATAGAGGCAGCAGGGATCTTTAGAGTCTTCATTCGCTGGATTTCTCATAAGAAAACATGTTCAGGGAATTAGCTAATTAGATAAACTTTCATGGCTAAAATTTTTGAGCGTGTGTTGTCTTTTGCTGGTACATATATAACTCTGGTTGTTAACAAAGCTACAGAGTTGACCTTGAGAGCCAAACAAGCGTCTTTAGCTCCATTACAAAGATGGACTAGGGGGAAGTGGCACAAAGGGTAAAACATACCAAAAAAATTTCCTTGAAGCCGCTGAAAAGTTCTCGAACAACTTTTCTCATCTGGGGCACCAGTTTGAATATCCGCAGAGGCCGCAGGCACCGAAGGACCATCAGGAGCTGAGCTCCGGACTCAGCGGGCACATTCTGAGGCATCCAACAGAGGAAGATCAAACTCACCTAGAGGGGAACAAAATCTCTCTGGAGTTTATACAGCTTTCTCCGCACTAGCAGTGTTTGCTGAAAGTCACCTGGCCATGACCTTTGGCAGAGATTCCACCTGTTACGTGGGACAACCAACAATTAAGGCACGCAATCTAGACCCAGCGGGAGCTTCAGTGAGAAGTCATTTTCTGCAGGCAGTAGTGAAACAGGGGAGCCCTCCAGGAATCTATGTCACTCTTGCATTCTGTCACCTCTCTCAAGGCTCTACCAAGGTCTCTATCTTTGAAATGCCTTCATCAAGATGTCTACTGTTTTGTAAATCATCTGCAACAGGGCACCCGCCCCAGCCCCTTTCTCCTTGCTGTGCCTGTAAGAACTTGGACTTCATCCCTTCTTAGACAGAGATAGAGCAGCATTTGGGTCTGTTCCGTGGCTTTTCTTTCTGACTGAACGAACAGCTGAATGGGCACCTTTTAGGTATTTTCTGCGCAGAATCAGGAGAGACAATGTAACCACGGTCACTTTCATCTGCTTTTAAACGAGAAGTGACTCCAGAATCACACATAACTTAGGCGATGCAGACTCTTGCATGCAAGATCCCCCCAAAAGTGTGAGAAGTCAAGCAGATGTGCCATTTTAGACTTTATGAATACATGTCTCATTCATACACAAAATTGTAATTATTACAAATATCCACGGACAGCCAAATGCTTTTTCAGATATTACATGCACATGTCTTATATCCATATAATGAACTTCTTGTATATTTAAGAATTCACTTAAAAACCTCTGGGATTCAAACACCTTACCCTTTCTTTTTTGTAATTTCGTTTTTTGACAGTTTCATAGGCTCTGGGATTCCCCCTCGCCTCCCCATACCCTCCCCCATGGTGGATTCCTCCACATTGTTGCAGTAGTACAGTTCAAATCCAGTCACGGTTCTTTCATTGCGAGCATGCACCACGTATGGAGTCCAGCATCTTATTGTCCAAATAAATTCCACAGTTTCCTTGGGAGACCATCCCTGAAACACCTCACTCTTGTACTGAAAAATACAGGAGATTTTATAAGATCATTTTACATGTAGGAAATAACCAAAGACTTACTAGGTATATGAATATGTCCATCACTCCCCCAAAGTCCCTGATGACAGCAGTTGGAGTGAAAAATAAGCCATCTGCCATAATCTTCAGATTAAGCTCGATGCTCATGAAGATCACAAAGACATACTCAGCAATCTGAAATGGGCCAAAGCACATTGGTCACAGGACCGGAACAATCACAGGTCAGGGTCTCAGCTGAGGTTGAGTAGCAGTACCTGCAAGGTGGGCGCATGCATGACTCTTCGAAAGGGGGATTCGAACATCATGGAAATGCAAGAGCAGATGGTGACGATGATCATGACCCAGTCCAGGTAGGTGACCAATCCCAGCAGATCGCTGCCAAAGAGCAAACAACAAGAGACACACACATTCCAGGAAAGTCTGCTGTGATCCATTACCATGCCTGGCATTTGTTTCTTACACAATCCCAACCATTTACTTCATAGCACTATCCTACTGGAGCAAGGAAATAAAGGGGGGTTTTGATATTTTTATGCAACACAAAATAGTACATGAGGACTTCAAATGCGCAGGGATAGTTGGGTTTGTAATGCTTACTAAAGCTGATGATACTTTGTATTCTTCACAGCTCCTGTGACAGGGTCCGTTTTAGATCTGTGGGCAGAAAAAGCATATGAAATCTGGAACCTAGCAAGAATGTTAGAACATGACCACAAAGTACAGACAAACACCTCGCATGCTTACAAGCCCTTTGATATCCTACATATATTGACTTTTTGGGATCTATCAACTGTGTATAGTTTTGGAAGAAAGAGAACATTACATAAAAAAATTATAGTTGATGTTTAGGAAAGTAAAAGTTTCTATTTCTCAAAATACTTGGTTTTGGCTCCATCCAACACTTCCTTGCATGGCTATTACAAAATTTAATTTTGACTTTTATTTGAAAATGTGCATTTGAGGGGCTTGGTGCAGTGGCTTAAAGGCTAAATTTCTTGCCTTGAATGCACCAGGATCCCATACACTGACTGGTTTGTGTCCTAGCTGCTCCACTTCCCATCCTGCTCCTTGCTTTTGGCCTGGGAAAGCAGTCATGGATGGCCCAAAGCTTTAGAACCCTGCATCAGTGTAGGAGACCTGAAAGAAGCTCCTGGCTCCTGGCTTTGAATTGGCTCAGCTCTGGCCATTGCGGCCATTTGGGGAGTGAATCAGTAGATGGGAGGTCTTTCTCTCTGTCTCTGTCTTTTCTCTGTCTTTCTGTAAATCTGACTTTCAATTAAAAGATAATTTTAAAAAATGCAATTGAAACTTTGCATTAGTACAGGTTAAGGACATTCTCCATAATCATTTATTTAAATTTTCCTTAAGTGAAATGGAGTTGCTCAGCCTGCACTGCACTATGGTAAGTTTCTGGGAACAGGCATTCAGAAATGTTACTTGCGGGAAGTCTGCTCACTGTTGTTGGTGAGCCCCCTGAAAGACGTGGTGTGTATTTCCAGGTAGAACAAAGTCATCCCCATCAAAACCAGCTTTAGCTCCACAGCTGACAAAGACAGACTCCCCCAAACCTCCAAATGAAGTGGGCCATCAGAAGTTTACAGGCAACCACTGGGAAAACCCACTTCAGGAACTGACCAAGTGTGTACTGCTGTCTTCTGCCTTGGAAAAACACAGGGAAGTGTTTAGTAATTGTCATGCAGGTGCTTAAAATCGCAAAAGCCTTTCTAGAACAGCAGAAAGCACAAGAGCCTGGTGGTCAGGAGGCAGCAGCACAGTGGCTGGGATTCCCAAGCGGACCTTCCTCATGCACACACCTGAACGTCTTCCTTTTCTGAAGAAGGGATGTGCAAGGGACATGGCATGTTCCCCCAAGAGTCCTTCTGACTCTAACACCTCATGAACCTGAGTCTGAGTTCCCTGGAGTCGCTGTAACAAGGCATCATGACCCGAGTGATTTAAGCAATGCAAATGTACTTTTTCAGGGTTCCAGATGGTCCAAAGTCAATGTGTTAGCAAAGTTGTTCTTTCGGGGAGTTTTGAGGGAAGGATTGATGCCAGTCTTTCCCAGCCAACTCTAGTTGGACATCTTGTGTGTGGCCCGTGGTCTTCCTTCAACTTGTATGTGTATTTCCTCCTCTCATGCAGAAAGCAGTAACACCAGATTAGGGCCCATGCTAATACCCTGACTTTACCTTAATCACCCGTTTAAAGTGCCAGTCTCCAAAAACAGTCACATTCTGAGCTGCCAGAAGCTAGGAGTTCACCTTGTGGATCTTGGGAGGGATTAATTCAGATAGTGATTATCATATGCTAGTAACTACCAACAGTGGAGATCATTTCTTAAAAAAAACTTATTTATTTGAAAGAGTTACAGTGGCAGAAGGAGAGACCTCCCATCTTGGGTCAACCGTCAAGTAGTCACAACAGCCAGGGTTGAGTCAAGCTGAAGCCAGGAGCCAAGAGTTTCATTTGAGTCTCCCATGTATCAGAGGACACAAATATTTGGGCCATCTCTGCTGCTTTTCTCAAGCCATTAGCAGGGAGCTGGACTGGAAGTGGAGCCGCCTGGACATTAGCTGGCACCCATGTGGGCTGCAGGTCTTATAGGAGGCAGCTTTGCTACAACATAGGCCCATGCATGGAAATGAATTTACCTAATAGACGGCATGGAGGAAGGCCCAACTACATTAAAAAAGTGGAAAGTTTTCACATCTCTCCTAGAATTCTGAATGTTTTAAAGACATTTACTTAAAGTTATTCTTGACCAAAATTCATTTCATCCATTGGTTGATGGTGAAACTTGGCTAGGTGTCCAAAAAGCCAAGTTCACTCTCTTAATAGTTTCTTATCTTTTATATTCCTTCGTAGGTAAAGGCAGTGGCCAGCAAACTTTCTCCCCCGAACAGCTGATAATAGAAGCACTAATCACTTTACCTTTTCTTCATATTATTGTAGAAAAAACAACCAAACACCCAATTGGGGTATTTTGCCCATAGAGAAACTAGAAGTCTCACAGAAGATGTTCACCATGTCTTTTAATCCCCCTCTGTTTCTATGTTTCCAAGATAAATACTGGCATTGATAACACTGATCCACATGTTTCAGGTGACCAACGCACGGATAATTAAGGTTCAGTGCTTTACTGTAAGAGTGTCCTGTGCGCTAGCTTTTGCCATCTTTGTCCCACCTAGTCAGGCACGGGGCCAGGCAAGGTGGAGCACTGTGATTAACGAAGGCTCTGCTCACCGTGTGACTCCATCAGGAGTGCATGTTCCTCCTCCTCCCGCAATGACCTCCCCCTACTGTCAGCATCAGCCAGGCCCAGCACCTGGCTGAAAGGAGCACTCACGCATTGAAACGAGCCCGCACCACCACGCGGCAGAAGTTTCGGAACCGGTGCTCCCTGCCCACGATGAACAGCGGCTTATCGAAGTATGGGTGGTTCTCCCTCAGTTCCTCCTCTTGCACTTTCCTTGGAGAGGAAGTGACGGGAGAGGGAGGCTGAGGGGCTACGCCAGTCTCCCACAGGCTCCCTGGCCAGGGGACGTGGCGGGGCCCTGTACCTTTTCATTTCCGCTTGCTCCTTCTTCTCCTGTATCATCTTTATCTCACTGTCTTCCCGCTGGGCATTCCTGTATCTCACTGTATTGGAATGCTACAGAGAAACGAAAAGGAGATGTGTTACGAGTTATCTTGAAGGCCAGAAACATTATTTTTAAAACACACTGAAATTAATCTTTACTTTCTATGTACAAGTATGTACAGTCTAATAGAATCATGTTAACATGGTTTTTTCCTCTAAAATGTCAGTATTTAAGTACTTCCAAAGGCACTTCAAATACCTCATGGGAAAATGGAATTAGAATGAGATTTATTTTGGTGGCAAGATTTGAAAATTCAGATATACACTTTTAATAATATGCAATTTTATGAACTTTTAAAAGACACACATATGCATAATTTCAAACTTTTGCACTGAAACTGTTCATTTCATTACATCACACCAAAAGTTTTTTGAGGTCCTCACGCGTGTATTGAAGTCATCTTATGTGCCAGACATTGTTCTTGAGGACAAGGGGAAACAAAGCAAAAAGACAGGAGTCCCTGTTCTTGTAGCACTGATGCTCCGGGCTGGGGTGAAGAATGAAAAGTCCGCAGAAGCAGCAAGTGTGCGAGGGTTTGTTGGGGATTCCAGGGGAAAACAACACAGCAGGCAAGAGGCACAAGGCCACGGACCATGATTGCAAATGGACAGCTTTGGTGTAGATGTCCATGTGAGGTTTGTTATCACAGCCAAGAGTGAAAGAAAGGCAGGACACAGGCCATGAACAGCTGCAGCCAGAGGGTTAGGCCTGGTGGACAGACACGATGGTGGTGTGGGCAAGGCTTAGGGAGCACGCAGCTGAGTGAAGAACGCACGGCCTGTGGGTGGCAGGGAGGAGTCCTGCAGGGTTTGCCGCCCTCCTGTGGACTGTGTAGGGATGACGTGGGTGCCCATGTTCATGCAACTTGACAAACTGCAGAGAAAGTATTTCTTAGACTTCTATCATCTGGAGAAATTGAAAAGCTTGAGACATCTCATGTAGATGTCTCCCATGATGCAAGAAAAGGCAAACCGCATGGCTCTCCACTGAAGTGACCAGAGCCCCAGGACATTCTGCTAGGGAGAAGAGTGAGGCTGAATTTTCTTCCAGGTCTGTAGGAAGAACAGGAAGAAAACTTTGAAGATGCATGTCCCTGCAGCTGAGGTTATTTAAACCAGCCACTGTTATGTATATTCCAACACATAGTTTCAAAGCCACGTTCTAATTTGATTCCTACGTAGGTTGTACATTTCTATAAATCACATTGAAAAAAGGCATTTTGAATGAAAAGTACATTTGAATTTTTACCTTGGAAATTTCTACATATAATAAGCACAGAGGTGAAGGCTCTATCCATGTTGATTCTATGGTGTCCGAGTGGATGGATTTCCAGATGCTAAGTACCCTAGCGGCAACCCAGCTCTGTACTAGTTAGAACCAGGTCAAACAGTGATGGTGAAACCAAATGTCTTTTCAACGATGTCTTCTAGTTCTCAGTTTTACCTGAGGCACTTAACAGGGACATTGAACTACAAGGGTCTTCAACAAGTTCATGGAAAATGTGTACTATGAAAAAAACAAAAATGCAGATGTCTCAGATTTTTTGTGTACCAAAATAAACTTATCTTTTAATTCCATTTTCCACAATTTGAAGTGTCTCCGTGACAGCTGCTGCAGATCGAAAGTAGATGCATTATAGTTAATGCTCAAGAAACTCTTTCAAATGTATGGGATAAATGAAAAAAGACCAAACAGTCCAGTGGCTGTGGCTTGGGCTCACACTCTGTGCTAGCTCTCGCATCTGCCTTCTCAGGAACAATATCCAGGCTCAGTCTGAGGCCCATATTGAAACAAGGCTTCACAAATGATACTTAAATATGCACTGTGCAACTTTTATAACATAATCATAGCTCACTGTGGCTGCTGCTTAGTCTGTCCTTGGCTTCTCTGGATTTTTCTCATGGTTTGTTCTTTCCTTTATATCTCTGCATTAATGAAAATGGGCCTTCATCAACTGTCTGTGTTAGCTGGCTTTTTGTTCCCATAATGAGTTACCTGAGAGAAGCAAACTTAATAAAAGAAATCATTAATTTTAGTTCATGGTTTGGAGGTTTGTGGTCCAAGCTGGGAGCCTCCCCTGGTTGGCTGAGTGTCTGGTGAGGGCAGGAAGCAGAGAACTGCCGGGCCCAGCTAGACTTTTATGACAATCAATACTTTGATGAGAACTACCTCCTAGTGGCATAGCCCTAGTGATTGAAAGACTTCAAACAGGCCCAGTTGCACACCATCATGGATGCTGTTTCTACTTTCTTACTACCATTAGCCTTTGGCTTTCAGAATTGAACATCTGCATGTGTTGGAGTACTAATCCTGTCCAAACCATGGCACCATCAGGTCCTAAAACACCTGTCCCCACATCTCTGCCTCTGACCTATTTATACTAGGTTCTTTCATTTGGCAAAGCACTGCTGTCACACCAATATACGCACAGTGGGAGGTAAAGAGAAAGCACTCCTAGAAGTCCCATTTTCTTCGAGAAGGTTCTTGATTTTCTTGGTCTTCAGTGGTCATTCAGTAGCATGTTATTTAACATCATGTTGTAAATTTTCTACTTTTCTTCCTAGTGTTGATTTTGTTTGATGGCTTTTCATTTAATAGGATGTATAGTAATATGCAGTGAGGACTGGAAACACACAGATGTGAGGATACAGTGCAGTGTGCATCTCTACTTCCAAATCAAAGATGCACTTCCAGTGAAACTGTTAAATATATCCTGACAATAGGATGCTGGATTTTCTGCCACTGTCTTTACATACAACGTCAGGCTACCCTTCAATAGCAGAATAATGGACTTACGACTGTTTATGAAGAACTATACTATTGTAATAATATAGGGGAAATCAGTGGAGAGGGGAGGGGACTCAGAGAGGAAGGAGGGCGAATCCCAGAGACTATGAAACTACATCATAAAATAATAAGATAAATAACAGAAGTTCCACTTTCTAGTGACTTGCTCATCATTTGTCTCCTTTCTCAGAATGCAAGCTCCTGGAGCCATGAGTTTGCTTTGTTTTCTTGCTACTCCTCACCACTTAGCACATGAGCTAGCAAAAAACACGTGCGGCAAAAATATTTAGCAAATCAGCAAGTAAATATACACATAAAATCAGAGTCTAAAAACAAAAAGTCTTGGTAAGTCCTGTGTGGTCTTCGGCAGAAAAAAAAATCTTTCATTTCATACATAAAATTCAATTTTATTTCCTAATGTGGGAAATGACAGGCACTGGATCTACAGTACAGAATATCTGGGACTTAGTGAATACTCAAAGTTAGTGATGCCAATAATCCTTACACATGCTTTAAATTCCTTTTTAAGGTTCAGTCCAATGCAGCTGATGGGTCACTCTGGTGGAGGTGTTTTAATGAAGTCATGTGCTTTGAGTGGGATGGCAGGCTTTTCCCGCAGTTAATGGACACTTTCTGGTACTGCCCTGTTGGTTGTCTCCTGAGCTTGCTGGTCCCCTATGGTTTGAAATCTGAAGGAGACATGGTGGTGTGACAGAAAAATCCAGACACCGGTACCTCTAAGTAGTCACATAAATACATTCTCATAAATAACCACACTTCCCAAATTCAAAGCATTGCTGAGGACTTACGTCTTGAGTCAAAGTTTCAAGAGACTTCCCCCTGCTGATCCTCTGGCTGTTTGATCCATGTCTGAGTGACCTAAGGCAACCACAACTCAAGATCAAGTTTCAACTATTTGGCAACGACCATGACATAATGACCCCTATATAAATAAAATACAACTGTTTCTCTGTTACAGTGTTACAGATGCCTACCATTTCATTTCGAGCCAAAGCTTAGAGTTCATCCAAATGTCTTTCAGCCCCTCCAACACAATCAGACTTGTTCCTTCTGATTTTAGAAATGGGAATTTGGTCATCATGCAGGGAAAGGTTTTTGAAATTTTAAAAACAAATTTGATTCTGATCATGAGTGGCACTGTTGCCACTGTCAGCAGGTGACATCCAGCTCCCAGCACATGCCTGTCTGCCCAGCAAGGGCTGGAGGCATTGCCCATGGGCAGAGCACTTCCTGTAAAAGCCCCTTTCCGTGTGTCCCTGTAGCCCATCCTCCCGGAGCAGGTACCTGCGCTCCTGGCGGATATGATGCTGCACACTGAGGATTGATCTTTCCTTGGCTGGCTGCCCCTCGAATGATCCACTCAGCATGCGCTGTCGAGTGCAAGCTCTAGAAGAAAAAAGAAACCCAAGATAAATGTCCGATTTGTACACTGGGGATGAATAATACATAACCGCTCATTACTCTTATTATTTTTACAGCAGCTCCTATGATGGGGCCAAATACAGCCAGGGACACATAACGATCAAGGAAAATGAATCTTAAGCTGTGTCAAGAGCACATGCAAAGCAGAAGTGTTAGGTTTATAGAGAGGACATGAAGAATGAATTGAAAGCTCCCCCGCCCTCCTGCCCTTTGCTCCCTTCCCCCATCCAAAATTGGCAGAGCTTCTATGAGGATTCTGTGAGCCAAGGCCACGATGTACCCTCTGGCAATTATGATGCTGGCTGTAAATTTAAACGAGAAAGTTTCTGAGAAAAGCCCTAGGGAAGGATGACATAATGTTCCAAGGAGATTTTAGTAGAACTTTAAGAAAATAGGAAAGCAAAAAGCTAGAGACATGAAATGAACCATTAAGATAAGTAACTGAAGCTGGAATTACACATAATGAAGTGAATATACTTAATGCCACTGAACCACACAGATAAAAATGGTGAAGACTGTACATTTTATGTTATGTGGTTTCTGCTTTTGTTGTGGACTTAGGCAGCTAGTTCAGGGCCACAAGCTTGGAAGCCCCTCCTTCCCACCTATGTGGTTCTTTCTGTCCACCTGTGACCTAAGAAGGGGCACTGTGGCATCGTTGCAAAGCCACTCCCCTCACAAGAAAATGATCGGGAGGGGCTCAGTCTCTTGGTCTCCCTCCCCTGCTCTTGCACTCCAACTGTTGGCCTCCCCAGTATCCGCCTGCTCTCTGGCTTTCCATGAACAGACTCCAATGACAGGTAGCCCTTGAACATGGCCCCTTATGTCTGTATTCCTCACCCTCTGTTCACTGCTTGGGCGAGTCAGTGAAGATGTGAATGCTAAGATGCTTTGTACCTTTGATTTGTGTAATTTCAAGAGTTTCAGGAAAGGTGAGGCCTAGCAGTAACGGAATGTGGACAGAGAAGCCAGGGAAAGGTGAATGTCTGCAGCTTTGTAAGTGGTCCAGGTTGTTTGCTGCATGTCGCTTAGGATGATTTATATTTGGAGGGAGCTGGGCCATAGGTCTTTAGTTTTATGGATGGGGCTACAAGGAAATTACCATTTATTCCTCTAAGGGTTTTGATTCAGACTGGATTGCACATGGACTTGTCATTTGATAATTTCTAGTGGGCCCTGTCACAACCAAGCTCGGTTAATAAAGACAGACTTGTCTGGAGTGATCTCTCTCCCTCCCTGCAACGCTTTTACCACAACCTAAAAATCTGGAGTGATTACCTAGAGAAGAGTCCAAAGTCTGTAGCTGGCTGATAACCCAGTTTCCACTTTCTTCAGGTTCTCAACATGTTTTCTTTAGACCATCACCAGGCTGATGTTAATTTCCGATTTACTAATGAGTGAAGAAACTAGGTGGCCCAACACCTGTGGTGTGGATGATTTGGGTGAGAAAACAGGTTTTTTTTTCTAGAGAGTTCTCTCCACCTGAGAATGAGAGGAATTTCCTGGAGGCAGAAGGCCGGTGGAAAGAATGCAAATCAGGGGCCCAGAAGACCCTGTGTCAGAGTGGACCCCACTCTCTAGCTGGGGAGAGCGTCACTGAGCAGCTGTGGGACTTTGCAGGCAGTGTGGGGGAGTTGTCCTACAAGGTCACTCACAGAAGTCAAATGCAAACGTGATGACGCTGTATTTGTCCGACATCCCGACTCGGACGCCATTGCTTCCACAATCTCTCCATCTTTACATTTGCTAAAATACAGGTTGGAATTGTGACCGTCTGTCTCCAAGTTAAGATATTTGACAAAAGGTGCAGACACCCCAACCATTCCTAAAACAGCAGCTTCTTCATGCCACGTGTATGTATGAAAACTCAGACGTGCTTTGGATGCAGGTATATGTGGTGTTCCACGAACTCATCATGCAAATTCGATGACCTAAGTATGTTACCAGAAAACAAGTCCAACTGTCACAAGTTTTAGCTTAACAAGCAGGATTTAACAGCGTGAAGACAATATTTATTTCTAGAACTAGGATGATTTCACCCGAAAAGATGTACTTCTAAATGCAGAGCTGACAAAAGCAAAGCAGAATCTCTTTATGTACATTGAGGATTGCTTTATGAATAATGGACTGAAAAGCATGATATCATGAGAAAATCCATAGAGGAAGAACTGTTATTTCAGCACTGATACCAAGATCCTCTGCTGTTGATACACACCACCAGAACTCTACTTCAGCTGCTATCTTAGTAAACTTGAATGCTTTTATCACAAGACCCTTCCCTAACCCTAATCCTAACAGTGGCTGAGACTTCTAGATCCTAAGTAAAAACACATCCACTCCGATTACATCTGGTCCATTGGAGTCTGAATGTCTGCTCTGCTGTCAGGATGCTGTTGAGTCCCGCACCTGCTCAGGGTGGTCAGACCTGGGTCTCCCTGCTGGAGAAGAGCTCTGACCACACTTGCTGGCACCCAGGTCTATGCAGCATGGCCAGGCCCCCGGGGTCTCTCTGCATAACCTGCTAAGGCCTGCTTCTACTCTGGCTGAAGAAGGCAGGCAGGTTTCTATGGAGACCACAGATGTTGGAAACCTCCCACCCCTCTGATTCCACTCAACCTTATCTGGCTGAAGGACTGGTAGAAAGGAAGTCACCCTTTTCTCCATGGCTCAGAGTCAAATCTTTCAGAGAATTCAGCAAGTACCATAACACTTTTTGGCTGGGGCTTTGTGCCCATGAATAACCCACTCTCTATCCTCTGTATGCACCACTCATTTCAGGCAGGAAGGGCCTGGTTTCCAGCTCCATCTATTAACACAGCCCCCTCTTACTGTGGGCCAATGCCCCAAAGTAGGCATCTTCATTTCCTTCCCCCATTTTCTGCACTGTTTTCCATCTGCTAGCATGACCTTACACTGGATAAACATGGAAACAAGAACAAAGAGCTCAGTTACTCCAGGCTTTCCAACGAAGAGCAGCTAAGTCCATAACTGGTGATTTCAGAGCTCTAGTCCGAGCTGAGTGTATGCTTCATAGTTTCTCAGAGTTAGGGCTCTGCCAGAAGCCTGTACCCCATCTTCTGGATGGGGCCCTATAGCTCCCTACCGCTGTCCACATTGTCTGAGCACAAGAAAGTCAATCCACCTTGCCTTGGGGGTAGGAGGACATCATGGGGACCCTGGGCTGCCTCCTCCACTTGCTCTACTCCCCCGTGCTGCGTCCCACTGGGGCCTGGAATAAAGGGCCAACAGCTCCCCTGTTTGTTGGTCAGTGTCTCGTGTCTGTTCTTGGATCACATGATGGCCCATTCTTTCCTCTGAGCATGCCCATGGTTTTGTATCTAAGAAACTCCACAAGTAAATACTAGGCTTTATTAGCTGCAAACGAAGGGCTATGTTTGTTTGGAAAACTGCTTAGAAAACATCAGCATGTAGGCAGTGCAGAGGGGAGTTCATGTGGAGGGTCGAAAGGCTTCATGCCCTTCTGGTGCAGTGGTGGGATGTTATTAAGATGAAAATGGAAACTTCTCTTCCAGACACTGCACCCACTGTAGTTAATGAGCTCCCACAAAAAACAGATGGCAATACGGATGAATTAAGTTTCCTATGGATGCAAGCATTTTCATTAATCTACAGAAGATACATGATTGACCCAATTACGCTCCACGCAGGTACCAGAACAAATCCAGGCAGATAAGAGGAGGACTTGAGAAGAGATAACATTGCAAGCCTGGGCTAGGAGAGTTACAGGAACAGGGTCACAGCAAAGGGATTTCCTGATACTCTGGCATTGAGGATACCAGACATCGAACAAGTGCAGAAAGAACATCATGATAAAATGTTTTTGCTTCAATAAAATACCCTCAGATCTAAACCACTGTCACCTTTTAGGGGGACATGCCAAAGATTTTACTTTTTTGGAAAATTATAATGTTTGTGGAAAGTTGGTTGCATGAAATGGGTGTGATCTGAATTCCCAGGAGGTTACACAGTCTCAAATATAATTGGTACAGTGGCATACAGAAATAAGAGGTTTTTTTTATCATTTTTAAAAGAAATACAATTTTCTCATAGATAAGCAGACACAGTAACTCCAACTGTGAACTACCAGTCAGCTGATGTGCACAATACAATCTCTTGGCATGAATGGATGCTGAGAAGTCAGCCAAGTGAGATGAGGTGGTCGACCCTCCGTGACAGCACTGGAAATGTAACTTGTCACAGGAGTGAACTGCTACTGGCACCTGCGACTCATGGGACTGCTTTAAGGCTATGACATTTTGCTGTCATTAGTTACGGCTAACCCTGGAATACAAGTACTTCAGAAAACTGGGCTCAGAACTGCACATTTCTGATCCCAGCTCTTACTCCAGTGGGCACTCAGCTAAATGACAAGACTTCCCTGGATCCCTTCCTCCACAGGCAAACCGTGGGGAACAATGACACCGTCCCCACTATCACGCCAGGGAACTGGACAACACCAAGCTCATAAACGGGACAGGATTCTGGAACTGCAGGCATTTGCATTTTAGTTGCCATTGTCTCCTTCTCTGTCTTATCTGTACCATAGTTGTTGTTAAAACTACCATGCAGGATTTGCTTTGTGAGATATATGTATTTACTTATTGGGAAGGTAAAGAGACGGGGAGACATACACATATATAGAAAGAGGCTAGTGGAGGAGAAGAGGGAGAGAAGGACAGATCTTCTATCCATTGCTTCACAATCAGATGGCCACAATGGTTAGAGCTGGGCCAAATCCAAGCCAGGAACCAGACACTTTATTTGGGAGTCCCTTGTGGGTGGCAGAGGCCCATTTTTGACAGCCTTCCCAGCCATATTAAAAGGGAGCTGGAATGGAAGTGGAGTGGCTGGGACTTGAACTGGCACCACGTCACAGGCCGTGCTGGACCCAGAGCTACAGGTCTCACTAAGAGGAGCATTCCGTGCAGTGTGCTAACCTTGTG